AGAGGGTCAGAGGGAGAAGCAGACTCCCCGCTGAGCAGGGAGCCCGATGCGGGACTTAATCCCAGGACTCCAGGATCATGACCTGAGCCGAAGGCAGTCGCTTAACAAACTGAGCCACCCAGGTGCCCCAAGGATTTTATTTTTAAGTAATCTCTACACCCGTTGTGGGGCTCAAACTCCCAACCCCAAGATCAAGAGTCACATGCTCTACCGACTGAGCCAGCCAGGTGCCCCTCTTCTAGAAGTTTTATAATTTTAGCTCGTACATCTAGGTTTATGGTCCATTTCGAAGTGATTTTTGTGTCTAGTCTAAGGGTCTAGATTTGTTTGTTTCGCATGTGGATATCTGGTTGTTTCAGCAATATTTGTTGAAAAGGCTTTCTTTTCCCTATGAATTATTTTGGCACCTTTGTTAAAGTTACCTGACTATAAATGTAGGGGTTTATTTCTGAACTCTTAAGTCAATTCCATAATATCTGTGTAAGTCTGTCCTCATGTTAGTACCACACTGTCTTGATTACCATATTTTTATGGTAATTTTTTTTAAGATTTATTTCAGAGAGCGCACATTGCGCGTGCGTGAGTGTGCAAGTGCAGTGGGGAGGGGTAAAGGGAGAGGGAGAGAGAGAATCTTAAGAAGACTCCGTGCTGGGGCACCTGTGGGGCTTAGTCAGTGAAGCATCTGCCTTCAGCTCAGGTCATGATCCTGGGGTACTGGGATTGAGCCCCGTGTCAGGCTCCCTGCTCCACGGGGAGCCTGCTTCTCCCTCTCCCTCTGCCTGCCCTTCTCCTTGCCTGTGCTCTCTCTCTCTCACTCTCTCTCTCTGTCAAATGCATAAATAAAATCTTAAAAAAAAAAAAAAAAATGCCGAGTGGAGAGCTTGACACGAGGCTCTATCTCATGACCCTGAGATCGGGACCTGAGCCAAAACCAAGAATTGGACGCTTAACCGACTGTGCCACAAAGGCGCCCCTATGGTAAATTCTGAAACTGGTTAGTGTAAGTCTTTTAACTTGGTTCTTTTTTTTTTTTTTCCCCCACAAAATTATTTTGGCTATCCTGGGTCCTTTGCATTTCTATGTGATTTTTAGTATGCGCCTATTTCTACCTGCCCTGTCCTCACCCCCCACCCCCAAACTGGGATTTTGATGAGGATTGTGTTGACTTTGTTAGGTCAGTTAGAGAGATTTGCCATTTTAACCGTAGTGTGTCTCCTGATGCATAAAATATGCACCATTCTTTCTGTCGATGGGCATCTGGTTTTTCCTTTTTTCTTCTTTGTTATGAACGGTGTTGCCAGATCACTCCTGGAGGAGTCTGCTGGCCTCTCTGGAGGTAAGGACCCGTAGCTGAGAGTGGAATTGCTTGGGTGCTGGGCATGTGCCTCTTGAGCTTGACCGGGCAATGCCAGATTGCTTTCCCTCGCAGCTGTGCCCCCGCGTGCTCCTAGCAGCACTCGGGCTGTTTGAGTCTGTGCTGTTGAGTGGCCTCACAACATTTGGTATGAGCGGACTTTCTGTTTATCATTTTTCCAATTTAGAAGGTAATAAAATCATATTGTATTGTGGTTTTAATTTGCAGTTCCCTGATTATAATATTGAGCCTCTTTTCACATGTTCATTGGCTGCTGGGGTTTCCTTCTCCGTAGAGTGGCTTTGGTTGATTCTTCTTGCTCATTTTTTCCATTAATGGTGTTTGTATTTTTCTTATTTTTAAGATTTTTTTCCATGTATCTTTGGTAGTAATTGTCTTCTGATTAGTCTGCTTGCTTGCTTCTTTTGATCCATCTTCCTTTCTTAGTTTGCGGCTTTAGGTTATGTTTTACTGTATCCTTTTGTTTTGGCTATTTAATGTATATATATGTATATAAATATATACATATCCAATATGTAGATATATACTGAATTCTAGAAACTGCCTAGTATCCTTGTAGAATGTTGCTAATTGGAAAAAATGAAAAACACCCTTTTAGTATTTTTCCAGCAGTGCTAATCAGTTCCATAGCAAGTATTTCAGGCAGAGTAATTTATCAGTCAGCTGTTCAGGAAGTGTCTGCCATGGTGCTTCTCCACCTGGGCTGCACATCAGAATCCCTTGGGAGCTTTAAAAATGTCCTGAGTCTGAGCTGCACCCCAGACCAGCTTGATCAGAATCTCTGGGAGTGAGACCCAGATGCCATTATTTCTAAAAGCTCCCCAGATGATTCCAGAGCTGAGAACACTTGGGCTGTGGGATGCTCAGTCCGTTCGGAGTATGCTGCAGATTGTGGATATCACAAACGCAGTGTGTCCTGGGTTCCAGCGCTGCTGTCACCTGAAGCCCTTGTCAAAAATACTGATTCCCTGGTACCTCGGCTGGAGGTTTTGACCAGTAGGTTTGGCATGGAGCCAGGGAATCTTTTTTTTTTTTTTTTTAATGGTAGGTTCTATGCCCAGCATGGAGCCCAGCACAAGACTCCAGCTCACAACCCTGAGATCAAGAGTCGGACACTTAACCAACTGAGCCACCCAGGTGCCCCAAGAATCTGTAATTTTAACACACACCCTAGGAAGCCTAATTTTTGTTTAGGAAACTGCACCAAGGCTTTAAAAATCTGGCATCTTCAAAATAGTGATTTAAGGGGAACTTCATTTTAGGACCTGATTACGACTTTAACTGTGGACCTAAAAAAAAAAATTCCGCTTCCTGTTCTCTCGTGTGAAATGTATGTTCCGTGATACCAGCTTGGGAGAAAAATCAGTACACAGATGTTGGGAAGCTCCAGCTGTGTTTAATTTGCAATCTTCTGTTTGAATTCTGTCTTCTCATCTCACCACTGGGCAGTAACTCCTCTCTGAGGGGCTCTGGGTTGGAACTCAGGAGACGTCACATCCCTAGGAACTGAGAGCTGTGTATTGTAAACAGTCTCTAGGATTCAGAGTTGTTTGCTTTTTCCAAGCCCTGAAATCTCATGGGGCAGTTGTTGAAGTTGGAGCTCACATAAAGGGCATATGAAGAACACAAAGCAAGGCATCTGGAAATGGATTTCTACGAACATCCAAATGCCACGTTTGGTGTCAACACCATTGTTTTAACAGCTTACGTTTCCCTCGCCCTTCTCTCCCCCACACACCCCCCCAAAAACATTTGGCTGTAAGAGGGTGTTTCACAAAACAGAAATGTTGTTTGCCTTTAGGCTGTAATGCTAAGGAGAAACTTTGTGAATTTAACAATTTAGAAATTGGGTGACAATGCCAAACAGAAAACCCATATCAGCCTACCTCTTGATATGACAGACATTATTTCCAATCTTTTCACTTTGGAAATGCATATTAACGGACTCTATCTTTTAAGTGACATTTGTAACTAAAGGTCAAGCATTGGAATGATAGAAGATGGCAAATTATTTAGTTCCTTGTGCTTACTTTTGAATTCGTAAAGATTTCAGGGCATTAAGTTTTGTTCTCCAAAGAAGAAACAGGTTTTTTTATTTCTGATCATAAAAGATGACTTAATCTGGGGTGTTTAGGGCCACGTTTTGTGTCTGTAGTCTTCCATTAAGCGTTCTGAACGTGTCGCGGTGCCTGGGTGGCTCAGTCGGTAGAGCGTCCAACTCATGATTTCACCTCAGGTCATGATCACAGGGTCCTGGGATTGAGCACCATGTTGGGCTCCATGCTGAGCATGGAGCCTGCTTGGGATTCTCTCTCTCCTCCCCCTGCCCCTCCTGGCTCACGCTCTCACTCTCTCTCTCTCTCTAAAAAATAAAAAAAGATCTGAACATGTCAAGGGCCCTTTGGTGTGAGTAATACAGGCATAGGGATTGAGCAAAATGTTCCTAGTGTTGCATATCATAGTTACAGGGGAACGTGCTCTTTGAAGCTTGTCATGTTTCCTTTTAGAGGGAAATTTGGAAGTGAGGATAAATAATAGATGCTATGGGGATAAAATGTACAGCATAGGGAATATAGTCATTGCTATTGTGATAATGTTTTATGGTGACAGATGGTAGCTACACTTGTGAGCTGTATAGAGTTGTCTATAATGTATAATAATATACAACAATGCTATGTTGTACACCTGAAACTAACATTGTGTGTCAACTGTACTTCAATTAAAGAGAAAAAATAGATGCTTGTTTAAGAAACCCTGGAGATGTACTTACGGCGTCATTTCATAGAAAAGAATGTTGAAGAAGCAAGACCATCCTGAGATAAACCAGAGGAAGCCGTGCTGAAAAGCACTTGGAACAAAGCTGGAGTCGTCTGTGAGAACATTGATGGGAGAGGTGTCCTTGACCTCCTCTTGGTGACTTTGATGCCGACCCTCATTCAGTGTATAAGCAAAGACCCTTCTGGATAAGAGTCCTCAGTCCTGTGGCTTTCTTGGAGGGATGTGATGGAGTGTTTCTATAAGAGGCTCTGTAGTGAGCGGTCTGCCCCCCCCCCCCCACCGCCACCTTGTCAGAAGGACAGTGGTTTTGCTTCTCATTATGTTTCCAGTGTCTGGCATGGGGCTTGGCACATGGAAAGCACCTGTGCTTGTTTGTAGAAATTAATTTTCCAGGCCTGGAGCATTGCAACCAAGTCAGACACGACACAGTGAATTTCCTTCTCTCTTCTCTTTTTTTTTTTTTTTAGTGTTCAAAGCTTCTTTCAGACACAAGCGTTATTCAGTTCTACCCAAGCAAATTTGTCCTTATCACCGACATACTTGATACATTTGGTAAGTACTAGTCCTGTTCATCTTCAATCTAGGAAATACATTTTTTTTTTTTTTGCCAGAAGTTGGGTGGTAGTGTTGCTTTAATTTCTGTTGTGGTTTAAATAGTTGGGTGAAACATGAGGGAGACCAAACAACCGCCCTGCCCCCACTCATTAACAAGGGTGCCGTTTTTAGAGAATCCTAAATGACCTGTTTTCTAACCTTCTGAGAGGCTAGTGAAGCAAGCAGGTGAAGCATGGGGGAGCTGGGGAGCACACATCCGGTCTAAACCAACTCCCGTCCCTTGACATGTCATGGTGCCTGGAACTCACTTTGTCAGAACCGAACTCGGCTTCTCTTCCCAGCACCTGCAGTGGGTTTCTGTCCCAGGGAATGTACCCTGTGCCCGAGCTGGAAATGTGAGAATCTTCTCCCCTGCGCCCCATGTCCAGTCCATCACCAGGTTCTTCGGTCTCCTGGGTCTCCCTCCACTTTGTCCGTTTTTATCTGTCTTCACTGAACACCATAGTCCAAGCCACAGTCCTCTCCTGCCTGGACTGATTATGACAGCTCTTGTGAGGTTTCCTGCCACGTCACGGCTGCCCTTTGTCCCATGCTCCCCCCATCAGGCAGAATGATCTAGACTGAAGAGAAGAGCCTGGGGCCCCTCTGGAGACACAGGGGGCTTTTGTGCTCCTTGGTGGTCATCAGTGGCCAGAGCATCAAGCCATTCAGCCCTCTATAAACTCTAAATGATGTTCAGTGGCAAGGTTCTCCCCAAGAACTAGCAGACAGAATCGTCTTCTGAGAGCCCAACACCTAGCAGATCAGAACAGAGACATTTGCTTTCTTGCCAAGGAGGGACCAGTGGACTCCCAACCCAGCAAGTCTCATCTGAAGCCCATAGAAAGATCTAATATGGCAGAAAACAAAATATCAAGCAGAGACCCCCATTTGCTTCACAGGAGACTGGGGTCTGAGTGTAGTAGCTAGAACAAATGATATAAAAAAGGTCTAACTCCTAATCTTGGGAAAAGCGGGTATTTATTGGCTTATGTTGAAAAGTCCAGGAGTAGTTTCTGGATTCAGGAACTCAAACAGTGTGTTGATATTTTCTAGTACTTGCCCTTGGGTCTCCTCGTTCTCAGACTCTGCAAGGTGTTCTCCACTTGTATCAGTTCTTCCGCCAGTAGTCCCAGGACAAGGGAAGAGCTTTTTTCTTCCAAGCCTACAATGAAAAGTCCCAGAATTCTATCTCCTTGGCCTGGCTGGATCACAAGTCAGTTTCTGAGTCATTTTGGTATCTGGCAGGATGAATTAGCAGATTGTCCAGGCCTGGGTCACCCCAAAGAAGAAAGGTGATGATGTTGCCAGAAGACAGGGGGATGGGAGCTAACTGGACCCCAAGAAGAGATGGTCTGGCTGAGTGACGGCCAATCAGGGTCAGGTGGCCCAGGCACTCTGCGGAGTGCCAAGGATGTATCAGCAAGAAGAGACAAAAATCCTCACTTTTGGGGGCTTATGTTCTGGTAAAAGGGGATTTACAAAACAAGTAAGTAAACCCAATTGTATGTTAGATGATGATCAGCAGCGTGGAGGGAAAAAACAAAACAGGAGGGTAAGGGGTGGAGGAGACTGTGGTTTTAGATAGGGTGGTCACAGGAGGCCCTGCTGAGACGTTGCTATTTGAGCAAGTGCTTGAAGGAGAGCAGAGATGAGCCACATGCTCTCTGGGGGAGGGAGAGTGCAGCCACGTTAGGCCGAGGACAGCGGGTGCAAAGTCCCTGGGGGAGGAGCGTGCCTGGCAGGTTTGAAGAGGCTGGGATGGCTGGAGGGGGTGTGCAGGGTGGTGGCTCAGGAGCTGACATGGCTGGAGGTCCTGGCGGGCCTTGTGGGCCATTGGGAGGACTTGGGCTTTGACCCTGAGAACATAAGGAACCACTGGGAGTGTTAAGGCGAGCAGGGATGTGATGATTTAAGTTTTACTGGCTGCTTGTTGAGACTATAGGCGGAGGTGGCTCAGGGAGCGTGGCTAGCACTTCAGGTGGGAGGCCGGGGAGATGGCGGAGATGGAGAAAATGAATGGATTTGCAGAATGGATGGGTGAGTTAGGCTCTCAGAATAGATACCCAGTCATATGCCCTTCGGGCCTTGATTTGTCCCCGTGTGCAGCTTGCCTTCAGCAGCGAGGACATCAGTCAGGGAGAGAGGTCGGTGGTTGTGTCTGGTTCTCCTGACAGTTCTATTTCTCATGGTGGGTTAACACACCAGCCTTCTGGTTTCCCTCACCTGCCTCCTGCAAGTTTCTTCTGCATGAGTCAGCATTCTGAGTGGGACTAGCACGATGGATCGGCTTCTAACCTACAAGCCTGGCCAGATCCGGACATTAACCTTGTGAGAATTTTGGGCAGCCAATCCGTCAGCCTTTGCTGGCGTCATCCCTTGGCAAGCCGGGATGTGGTGCACATGCCTGTTTTTGCCCTATCCCAGAGATTAGCTGGGCTGAGAATTGGTAACAGCAGTGATAAACCCTCAACAAATAATGTCCTTGGGCCTGACTCTGTTCTGGGTGCTTTAGAGATATTACATCACGTTGTCTTCATCACAACCTGTGAGGTGGGGTCTCTAATGACCCCATTTCACAGGTGAGGGGCCCGAGGCACAGAGAAGTAAAGTAGCTCTCCCAGGGTCGCAAGGTGGGCAGTGAGCGGCAGGCCTGGGATTCTGAGTTTTCTCTGTAGTCAAAGACCTGTTTTGTTTCTGTTGTACTTGGCTCATGGGGGAAATGTTGCTCTGCATGAAAATTACAAATGTGTGTAAATTTGACCCTGGCACCTTCACCTCTGGGAATTCATCCCATTTGTGATAGCGGAATCCTGGAAACAACCCAAGTGGCCATCACTAGGGGACCAGTTAAATAAACGAGGGTCGGTCCATCTGTACCCCAGAGCATAGGAAGCCCACAAGAAAGAGTGAGGGTATGTATGCTCTGCATTCCAGTGTGGAGAGATCTCCGGGGTATATATGTCATCACGTGAAAAAATCAAAATGCAGAACAGCTGTAAAGTATGTTCTGTTTTGTGTAAGAAAGCAGGAGAAATTAGAATACTTGTTCACATTCCCTTTTATTTGCCTGAAGAAACATTTAGAAGGATGTCCAAGAAATTCAGTAGCAGTGGGAGTCCTCAGAGGCCGGCGGGGGCCGTGGAGTGGATGGGGATGGGCCAGAGAGAAACTTCCCTCATACCTTCTATAGCCTTTTTTGAATTTCGTATCAGAGGAGTATTTTTCTTTTTTGAAACCGAACATTCAAATGAGGTACCAGCCTTCTATGTCATTCTCCTTCCTCCACATCTCAGTGGTCGACACTCAAGTGTGAGGACCATGGATTTAGACAAGCATCACGGGTCTCGGAGCTAAAACTTGCCTTGGGCCTGGGACTCTCTAAAAAACAGTGACAAGCCTCCCTCTTGCCTCTAAACCAGTGGTCCCCAACCTTGGCTAAACACTCGAAGCACCCGGGGCGCCTGAAAATAGGCTGCACTTGTCGGGACCTGTTGTGATTAGTAAGGTGCCCTTGTCAGGACCTGTTGTGATTAGTATTCCTCAGGATTGTGAGGCAGACTGCATCTGCAGGTGCTCAAGGAGACTGTTGTGCTCTGCCCGTAACAAAATGTTTTCACCTTTCACAAAATGGGTGGCAGTCTGCCTTGCTTGGGTGGAAGTTCGGAGCGCCATGATCCGGCTTGTGTGCATTGTCCTAATGCTGCTCTGTAGGGAGGTGCTTGACCGTAGGCGGGCTGGTGTTTAGTGGTTGACAGGACTGACCGAAGGTGGGAGCATCTTGCTGGGCAGGGATGTGGGACATGGCCCTGAGCATGTGCAGATGGGAAGATGCATGCTGGACTTCAAGGGGGATTTCACTGGAGGCACCGAGCACAGAGCTGGGCTCTGGAGTCTCTCGGCCCACGTCCCACGCCTGTGTGTCTTGTTCCAGAGTCGAGTGCATCTGACCAAGAAACACTTGGTTTCCTCCCCTGTAAAATGGGCATAATAGATGCTGCCTCTGGGGGTTTCTGGAGGGAATTAAGAGAATACATAGGAAGCATATAACGTTTTTCCTCTTCTAAGAGTTTGCTGGCAGGATCATGTAAGCAACTTTGAAAGTACCTGGCGCAAAGTTAGTGCTCAGAAAATTATTTATCTATTTTAGTGTTCTTGATTTGTAAGACAGTTGGGAAAGGAAATAAATCTAGGATCAGGTATTATTTCTCAAGACTGTTGTCCACTAACCTAACAAAGGAAAAAAGTACTCACCAAACTCGTTTGGCCAAAAATGATTTTGTAGTTGAAGGCCCCTTAGCGTATGAAGGTACACTATACACATTGTGGTTTTAGAGGGATGGCAGGCTTTTTGTGGAGCAAGTAAAGGCGTTTTGTGCTCTTAAGTCTGGTCCATGTACCATAGGAGGTGAGAGGTGACCAGCATGGCTTGCTGTGTGATGACCCAAGGTAAAAATTATATGCATTCCCAGTGCCATGTTCTGTGGTCCTCAAGAGGAGGCCCATCATGGCCCCAGGTGTGGCTGCCATGGGAGCCCATGGCCGCAGGTAAGGAAAGCACTTCTGGTCAGGAGGAAAAAGGCAGGTGGCTTTGAGAACTGGGGTTTATTCCCTGAGGCTTCCTGGGAGCTTCTCAATTGAACTGATGGTGTAGAGCAGGGGTTTTCATCCTCGGCTGCACAACCTGGGGAGCTTTAAAAACACTCCCAATGGTCAAGCTAGACCCCAGATCATTTCTGTCAGAACCTCTGGGGATAGACACAGACACCAGCCTATTTTCAGGCGCCCCGGGTGCTTCGAGTGTTTAGCCGAGGTTGGGGACCGCAAGTTTAGAGGGAAGAGGGGGCTTGTCACTGTTTTTAGAGATTCCCATGCCCAAGGCAAGTTTTAGCTCCGAGACCCGTGGTGCTTGTCTAAATCCATGGTCCTCACGCTTGAGGGTAGACAAGAATTCCCTAGCTAAGGTTATTCAAAATTCATATTCCTAGTCCTCACCCTCCAAAATACTATTCTGCACTAGCTCTGAGGTGGGCCCCAGGAATGTGCCTTTTCAACAGGTGTCTTTATGTGATTGTAATGTAAGTAGTCCCCCCTGGGAGAGGCACCCAGCTGGCTCCTCTTCTCTTGGGCGGCTTCCTGCCCTTCGCCCTAGCCTGGTGTCATTTCTTGGTGAAGTCATTTGACTTCACGTTCTTAGAACTTCCTGTCTGTCTCTTTTTCCATGTGAGGACCGGTTGTGTGTTTCTTTGCTTCCCTGAATGATGGCGTTATGGGGGCAAAAAATAACGCAAGGGCTCAGGGAAATACTTTTGACATTAAAGGTGATTTGGAAGGCTCCAGGAGAGGAATAGAACTATAATTTTTATCCCTTTGATGTTGATAGTATTTTCTAAAATAACACAGAATAAATAAAGCTTTTAGTCCTAGATTAAGGGGTGGTTTGTGGACCAAGTCTACCCTGCCCACTTGTTTTTGTAAGTAAAGTTTTATTATTGTTATTGGAACATGACCAACCACATCTGTTTGCTTATACATTGTCTGCGATTGCTTTTGAGCCACAGGAGCAGATTTGAGTCCTTGCAGCAGTGACCTAGGATCCACATCACCTAAAATATGTTTATGCATCTAGCAGATACTGAGCGTCCACGGTGTGCCCGTCACTGATCTTAGTACTGGGGATATATCCGTGAGCAAAACAGACCCAAATTTCTACCCTTGTAGCACTTGCTAGTTGAATCTCAAATTTCGATGCTTCTGGGCACCAGGCAGATGACATAAATGAGTGCCCCAGACAGTTGCTGAGAGACAGCATGGTGGAAGCTGGGACAAACTGGGTGGTATATATGCCATTTGAAGAGTCAGCTACTAATTTGTCGTAGCGTGTTGGTTTTTTTTTTTTTAGAGACTTTTTAAAGATTTGAGAGTACAAGGAGGGGGAGCGGCAGGCAGAGGGTGAGGGAGAAGCAGGCTCCCCACTGAGCAGGGAGTGTGATGCGGGCTCCACCCCAGGACCCTGGGATCATGACCTGAGCTGAAAGCAGACGCTTAACTGACTGAGCCACCCAGGTTCCCCTGTCATAGCTGATTTTTATCCTGTATGGATATGGGCCATTTTTGGCACATCATTTGTGAAGAAGCAGGAAATCGGGTTTTTCACATGAATGAAGTTTTTAACCTGTTGGCAACTAATTAAAAAAAAAAAAAAAGTTAAAGCACTTTGTGTTTTGGGCCAAACAGAATGGATCCCTGGCTAGATTCTACCCGCAGGCAGCCCATCTGCAGCCTCTGGCTTAGAAGCACAACATGGATGATTTGCTGATGAGTGAATGGAGGTGCCTGAGGTCCCCTTGGCCCTAAGTTTCCCTCTCTAAGGGGAGAAGGATGACTTCCCTGCCTCGCAGAAAGTAGAAGTCTGCATTTTATTAAAAACAGAAACAAAAGAAACGCGGCTTAAAATTTGTCCCACTAGGTGGCAGCATACCATCACAAGTTAAAGTGCTCTGGGCCACGCCGGCTCTGTCCCTAATTAACAAACGTTTATTTAGTGTTCACTCCTGAAGAGCGGGATGCTAACACCATCTGTCCTTTTCTCCCCAGGAAAGCTCGTGTATGAGCGCATCTTCTCCATGTGTGTGGATAACCGCAGCGTCTTACCAGGTAATGTCAGAGCTGTTCTACTGGTTTCGTTCTGCCCTGGAGTTGTGATTAGAAGGTTTCTATCAAGTCAGGATTTATGGAGACTCAGTATAAGATTTACTTTGTTTTTGGTGTGTTAAAAGTAGAAGAAACACCTTTGCAGATTTCTGATCATCTCAGTTTTCTAAAAAAAACATTAGAAGGTTTTCAAATGGCCTGGCTAAGAATTTGGGCAAGTACTTGGAATCCAGGAAAATAAAAAGATATTGCAACTAGATTCAGCTGACCTTTTATACCAACTTAAATCCCTCCACTGCCTGACATTTTTTTCCTGCATCTCTCTCCTGAGAAGCAAATTGCAGAAACCAACTTTATATATGCTAAAGAACAATGTCAAAGAAATCAATAACAGATACTTAAGTGATGTGTGCATTAAATTTATTGCCAATCCATTTTAAATTCTAAGGGGGTTAAAATGGGACAGCTTGATTATGAATCTCTGTTGTAACATAAATGGTGACGATCTGTCTGGCAACATGGAACTCTCAGCAGTGGCTTCTCTTACTTCTTGTCCCTCCTTTTCAAGTTTCTAGAGCTGCTGTAAGGAAACGTTCTCATCCATACAAGTTACCACAACAAGCTTGCTCCCACTGCTCCTGTTCTCAGCCAAATGATGGCATCGGCGACCGTAACCCATAATTGGCCTGTTCACTTATTCATTAATTCTTTCATCCATCTCTGTATCTGTTATTTTAAAAATGATTTAATACAGCTCTTTCTCAGAAAGAGACAGAACTCCACAGACCTTTGGGGCTGGAAGGGTCATCTGGCATCAGATGAGCAAACCCACGGGGGAAGAGGCAAGGACTTGCCCTCAGCCCTGTCTCCAGCCAGTGGGAGCCTTGCTCTTAAGCTGGATCTGTGCCGTCCAACATGGCGGCCACGGGTCATGTGCGGCCCTTGAGATCTGGCCAGTCCAAATGGAGGGTTTGCTGTGTGTATAAAAATACGTTGGATTTCAGAGACTTAATAGAAACAAAAGACCATGAAGTATCTCACTGATGATTTTTAAAATTGATTGCATGTTGAAATGACATTTTGGGTGAATTGGGTTAAATGAGGCATTTTATTAAAATTTCACTTGTTTTAAGCTTTGCACAGGGCAGTATCGTAGCCAGTGAAGTTTATCCTAGGCGCGATTATTGCTAATTAAAATTTCACTTGTTTTAATCTCTTTGAACATGGCTCACGTGGTATTTCTATTGGTTGGTGCTGCTCTAGATCCTCCCCTACACCACATCACATCTGTGATGTTATTAACCGCTCCTCCCATGTTCTAAGGCATCTCAAGATTGGAAGGCAGTGAGCCTGGAGAAGTAGGCAGGGGCCAGCTTGAGTGCAAAGGTCTTCTCTGTCAGCTTTAAGGATTTGGGAAATCTAGGTGCATCTATTTAATTTAAACTTGCCAACTTGTGTGCCATACAAGTAAGCAGCAGTAAATGCTCGTCTCTAAGCAGAATTAAACCCAAATAGGTGTTTTTTGTGGCTTTTTATTTTTAAGTAATCTCTACACTCAATATGGGTCTTGAACTCCTAACCCTAAGATCAAGAGTCGCGTGCTCTACAGACTGAGCCAGCCAGGTGCCCCTATAACAGCATTTCCCCCCCAAAATATTTATTTACTTTAGAGAGAGCGGCAGAGGGAGGGGAAGAGGGGGAGAGAGAGAGAGAGAGAATGTCAGGCAGACTCCCCACTGAGCACAGAACCTGACTTGGGGCTTGATCTCATGACCCTGAGATCATGACCTGAGCCGAAATCAAGAGCACCCAGACGCCCCTCCAACGGCATTTTTTAACATGCTTTTTAATACACAGTCTGCTACTTCCTATTGTTGTACACCTAACCACATAAGAATATTTGTTACCTGTCTAACCCCCAGAGGCCTTTGAGATTACATCTACTGCAATAATTTTCCTTCCTCCCAATTTTCTCTAAGGATACAAACAATATTTTAGAGCCAGTTAAGGAAAAATTACTAACAACCTCCTACCTAAACTATAAAAGTTCAAGATAAAAGACTATTTTCGTATTCATTTCCAGTCCTTGTCTAAATTTATTAATTAGCACTTTGATCACGGAAACTCTTCCTTCCCCAAAATACCTATTTTTTTTTTTTTTTACCTCGAGCAATGCAAATCAGGCTTTTGTTCTTCTTGGAAATAATTTCTTATTTTTTTTTCTTTCAGTGAAAATCTTCATCTGCACGTAGTGTTCTCTGGTTCCAAGAACCTGAGAGGGAAAAGGGCAAATTTCTCTCAAAAATGTCAGTGATTTGGGGGATGTCTCTTAACAGTAATTATGAAGAAAGCTTTTGAAATCGACTATGTGGAATCCTGCCTAAAGAAATTATGTACAGAGAGGAATCTGGTGGCATGTGTACTCATTCTTTCCAGTTGGATCAAGTTCTGACTGGTGAATTTAATTTTTGAGCCCTTCACCTTCAGGAATTTGAACCAAGGCATGCATACCTATTTTATGAGTTTAGAAGGATACTGGTGTCCTTTGGGTTCATGGAAAGTACATACGACTGTATGTGGTAGTTTTTCCCTACCATTTCTTAATCCAGCCTATGTGTGGAGAGACCATCTACTCTAAGTGATAAAGTAACTTTATTTCCATCTTGGGAGAAAGAACTTGGGTTTGTCGTGTTGCAGTTGTCGTCAACTGTGGGCATTCCCATCTTCGGTTTTTCCCCATGGCTGATGTAGGCTGCATCTGGATAAGCAGTGTCCTTAATTGACCTGGCCTTTGAGGCGCATACTAAGATGACATCCCTGTACGTGCTGTTATGTAAAGAGACCTCTCGCTTCTGGGGTAGAGACTTGGCAGAGGAAAGAGAACTAGACTCACTGGTCTCCTCCCTCCTCCTAAAATATCCACAGAAGTTCAGGGTTGAAAAAAGAAGCACCATAAAAGAAAAATAAGTGGGAATAGAAGGAAGAATCTTTCCTTTTTGTTACGTTCAAGTCTCTGAATTAATTTCCACATTCTGAATTCATTCTCCGTATAAGCAGCCTAAGTGCTAAAGTATAAGTCATGTCATGTTAGGCCATTCCTCTGCCCAGAACCCTTCAGGGAGTTTCTGTCGCACCTAGAAAAACTCTCTAGCTCCTTACCAAGGCTACAGCCCTGTATGACTTGGCGTGCAGTGCCTGCTTCTCTCTTTCCTGCTTACCCCATTGGCTTGCTTTTTTTCTTCTTTGACCAGAGGTAATATCTACCTCAGGACCTTTGCACTTGATGTTTCCTCTTCCTGGAATACATTTCCTCCACATCTAAATATGGCTGGCTCCTTTTTGCAATTCAGGGCTCAGCTCAAATGCCACCTCTGCCAGAGTCTTCTGGGACCACCCTGTCTAATGAAACTGCACCCCCAAAGTCACTGTCTAGTCTAATACTTTTATATCTTTCACAGTGTTGGCTATTACTGGATATTACCTGATTTGTTTGCTTGCTAGCTTATTTTTGCTGTTTATTATGTTTTTCCCTCTGCTGGAATATAAACTTCATGAGGACAGGGTCTGTCTTGTGTATTATTTATCTCTTCAGAGCCTAGAATACTACTTTTAGTTGGTTCTTAAAACATTTGTGTTGAGCAAATGAAGTATAGGCATGTAAGATTTACCTTGCTACAAGATTTTAATTAGTTAATTTTTTAGTTTTTTTTTTTTTAAAGATTTTATTTTATTTGACAGAGCACAAGCAGAGGGAGAGAGAGGGAGAAGCAGGCTCCCTGCTGAGCAAGGAGCCCGATGTGGGACTCGATGACCCATGTGGCACAGTTTACTGTGCCGATGGGTCCTGGGATCATGACCCGGGCCGAAGGCAGCCACTTAACCGACTGAGCCACCCAGGCGTCCCAATTTTTTAGTTTTTGAGTGAGCTCTACGCCCATCATGGGGCTTCAACTCACGACCCCAAGATGAAGAGTTGCGTGCTCTACTGACCGAGTCAGCCAGGCGCCCCACTTCGCTACAGGATTTTAAAGTCCTCCCTTAACATCGTTTTCTCTTAAATGATCTCTTGAGCTGGAAGGAAAGCCTGAAGCATTTGTATTGGCATGTGCAGATTATTGTATAGCTTACAGGCGATGTGGACACCCAGGACAGCTTGCCTTTCTGTGTCCCCGGGGTTTCCCACGTCCAACCATGTGCTTCAGCAGACAAGGCTCTTGTCAGGGCTGGCGGGTTATAGCTTACGGTAATGCCAGCTCTCTTCTGAATCTCCATTCCCTTGTCGGTAGAGTGAGGGGTTTTATTAGATGATCTCAGAGACTTATTTTTCTTTTGGGTTTCAGGTCCCATGATTCAGTCCTATGAAGGGAAATTAATCCCACCCGTCCTTTTTCCACAAGGCACGATTGACAAATGAATTTAAGAATAACCCTTATCTTTTCCTGTCTGGATCTCTTGGAACTTGAAAAAAAAAAAAAAAGTTACTTTTAAGTGCATGGGTTTAGGGCAGGAAATGGGAAATGGTAATTTCCCTTCCCTTTGGAACTGGCAAGTGAATAGTTCTTGAATGAATGAAGCACATTCCATAACATCCAAAAATAGATAAATACTTGAGATTGCAATTCCAAAATATCTGCAATTGTGATTAGTGACTGTTCTCTGCTAAGAAGTACCTGGAGGTTTATCTTTTTGCTGATTCCTTTGGAATTTCCATCACCTTAATTGTGTGCCACCAAGTTGCAGAAAGCAGAATCAGGGACGAGAAATGACTCTGTGCACAACAAAGATGAGGACAGCAAGCTAAAATTCGTTTGTTGTCTTCTAAAGCGATTAACTTCTCCCTTTTTTATTTTTATTTTTTTTTTTAATTTTAAGTAAACTGTGCCACACGTGGGGCTCGAACTCATGACCCTGCAATTAAGAGCTGCATGCTCTACCAGCTGAGCCAGCCAGGCGCCCCCCTTTGTGATTGAATGCCAGAAGTATAAAGCACATCCATCGGTGGGGTGGGAATCTAATATGTGGAAATGATTTAGAAGAAATCATTTCTCTATGCGAGAGTTCCACAGTGGCCTTGTTGGTGATGAGTCTGGGGGCGGGGTGGGTGTTGATTGTTGTTCTCATTGTTCCATACGCTCTTCCATTCCTTATTAAGATGCATGTCAAGACCAGGCTTGGGTGCTGGGGCCAGAAAACTCAGAATAACAATGAAAAGGTCAGGGCTGGTGGGGCAGCCAGCCTACGGCCAGGGATCCTGACTTCTGTCCTGCTGCTCTCATAATTCAAGGTCGGTGATGGTGGTTCCACCATCGTGTCCAGCTGGGTTGAATTGCAGCTCTGACCTTTGCTTGCTGTGTGCCCTAACCATGTCTGTGCCTTGGTCTCTGCATCTGCCAGAGTAAAATAAAGCTCAGGTCATGATCTCAGGGTCCTGGGATCGAGCCCTGCCTTGAGCTGTCCACTCAGCAGGGAGTCTGCTCCTCCCTCTCCTTTTCCCTCTGCCTCTCCCTGCCCCCCCCCATGCTCTCTCTCGCCCGCTCTCTCTCTCTCTCTAATAAATAAATAAAATCTTAAAAAAAAAAGTATGTACTGTGGAGGGATGTTGTGGGGATGAGGTGACCTGATGTCTGTAAAGCACTCTGAGCAGCACCTGGAAAGCCTCGTATGTAAGCTTTCACTGTCACTAATTGTTTCCTAATAATACTTGGAAGGAAAGACCTAGAAGAACTGGGGAGGCCACCCCTTCTTGTCCATTGTAACGTTCTCCTATCTCAGGACCCGTAGCAGCTGTAACAGATCCTGATGGGTATTGTTTTTGTATTTCAGATCACTTCTCTCCAGAGAATGTAAATGACACGGCCAAAGAAACATGCTTAAATTGGTTTTTCAAGATTGCTTCCATCAGGGAACTCATTCCAAGATTGTATCCTTTTTTTTTTTTTTTTTTTTTTTTTGGTCTGATGATTTTAAAGATAGGCTGAAAGAGTTGCACCATTAATGGAAGCCATGTGATGGGATGCCCTGAAATTCCTGTTGAAAATTTGGTCCCGTTACGGTTGCTAGCTTGAAAATCCAGGGCCAGCCACATTGTCAAAGCCTTTGGACTCCTCTCTCCCCAAATAGTGTTCTGTTTTCTTTCTTTGAATATGATGCCATGTACCAGACTTTTGTTTCCTAGAGGAACATTCCCACATTAATTCTCTCAATTAAAATGCTTCATTTTTATGTGTTTTCTCTGGTTCCAAAAACTTGAAAGGAACAGGGTCAGGCTTCTCTGCACAGATGCCAGTTTTGGAGAACAGAGTTTGACTTATACACAAATGAATCTTGGTTATCTAAAGTTCATTCTTTCCCCATAAAGCCTCAATGGGAAATGCTCAAAACACAGTTTAAAACTTCAGCATGCAACTGTGAATCAGCATGCAATTTTTTCCCCAAAATGTATTTTAAATAAGTATGAAATCTTGAAAACCAACTATGGAAACCACAGGCTGTTAGCTAATGCAATTCTCTAGGCTGGTGAGAGCCATTGTGTTTCCGTGTCCGGAAGTCATGCTAAGTTCTGCTCATGAGTGGTCTCGTCTCTTTGCCATAGGGAACAGGCCATCTGGAAAATGTCTTCCTTAACAGGATGTTTTTGTAGTTATGTGGAAGCGTCCATCCTGAAGTGTAACAAGTTCCTCTCCAAAACGTAAGGCTCTTCTTCAATGTCTAGAACCATAACATTTTCAAGAAGTCTCTCTCTCTCCCTCTCTCTCTCACTTTCTCTCTCTCTCTCTCTCTCATACACACACACACACACACACGGCAGTGTAATAGCTATCATTCATTGGGGTACTTAGCATGTAGCAGATCTGGTGCTAAGCACCTTCCGTGCATTTTCTCCTCTGATCTAAGTGGAAACTTGATTAGGTAGAGATACCATTATAATTCCTATTTGATGGAGAAGAAAACTCAAGCTAGGAGAAGGTGATTGAGTGGTTCATGGAAGAATCCTCGCTTTGCCTTTAGTAGCTGTGTGGTCTTGGCAAGTTATGAAGCATCTCTGACCCTCAGTTTCCTCTTCTGTGAACGAGGCCATAAAAAGAGGTCGGTGAGGGTTTGTCGAGAGCACTGCCTGCCACCCAGTGGGCCTGTGCTCAGTATTTGCTGATGCTGCTGAAGATGGTGATGAAGATGCTGTCAGAAGCAAAAGCCTTTGCCCCTGAGCCCCATGCTCCTCTTGGGCCTTGTTTTGAGAGTAGTTTCCAGGGCTGGGAGAAACCAGATCTGTTTTCTGCAGAGCCAACAAAACGCTAGGTCATGTTGAATAGCCTGTAGATAATAAACTCCCTGAAGCCAGGGGCCAACTCCTGGTGCTTCATAGTGAAGTCTTTTCATTGGGTTTAGAATGTGTACCAAATATACTTGATTTGGATCTAAGGATGTCTGAGGTATTTTTTAGGAATAATATGAACTGGTTTTCAGAATTAATTGATTCTTAATGCCCTGAAAAGAAATTATTTTGCCTCACCATTTGGGAAGGATAATGCCTGAGGCAGAGGCAAGTCCCAGGTTGCAGGAGAAATAAATCAGTCACAGTTCACATTGATGGGGGATCGCTGATGCCAGCCTGAGGTGCCAGGAGTTGGGTGCCAGGAAGGAGTGGGGCAGAGGACGGTAAGTCAGTGCCAAAGGAATATAGACACGGCGAGAACATCGAGAAGATCAGGAGTGATCAGCAGATGGAAAATAACTGGGGGACGAAAACTGTTAAACCAATAAAATAAATATGACCTCAAACGGGCAAAAAAGGAAAGGTTAGGCTCCAGCCCCATGCAGATGGTAAAGATGATAGAAGCCACTCAATGAGTGAATTGTGTCCAGAGAGAAAGACTTTTGTTACATTGCCTTAGAAAAATGCCAACTTTGGCCTTGGTTTGTCTCTGAACCTTGATTCTTTTTGTGCCCCCCCTACATTGAGGAAGTGTAGCTTTATCTTTAGGTTAAAAATAAAAGAACACTGATTGCTCCCATTGGGTGTAATGCCGCCCTCTTTTTGTTCCTAACAGGGGGATTTCAGAATGTCTGCCCCGGCTGACGTGCATGATTCGCGGGATCGGAGACCCGCTTGTGTCCGTGTACGCCAGGGCCTATCTGTGCCGGGTAGGTGGCGTCGGGTCCCCACGCGCTCACAGACGGGGCTGCCGCCCGTCTCCTTCACGTAGGCTTCTGCTGCCCGGCACCTCACAAGTCACTACAAGAAGGACTTCATTAGCTAATTTTAGAACACGGCTCTTCCACGGAAAGCAGAGCTGTAGGATTTCTTCTAAAAATTAATTTTAAAGTAGGCCCACTTACCGTCACTCTAATTAGGGGGCGTCTAAGGTCATCTTCATACAAATGAACTGGTTTTCAGAATTAATTGTTTCTCCAGTTCTTGCTGGGAGGGAGGCTCCCAAGGCCTCTTGACTGATAGGCTGCTTTTCATTGACTCGACATCGGCTTTCCTTTTGTCTTGGATCGGGTTGTTTTATTAGTTTCTCTGTCCCCACATTCAAGAGTTGGCGCAGGGTGCGAGTTGGTGGGGGCTGTCGGGCAGGGTGAGGTGCCACTTGCAATGACAGGTGTCAGGGTCTGTGCAGCCCAGCCATGGAGGGCTCCCGGTCTCTCTCTCTAGCTGCTCAGACCGGGGAGGTGGCCCTGGTTGTAGATCACTTAGCCTTTTTCTCTCTCAAAGTACCATGAAGCTTCTATTTCAGACTTTTTCATTTATGAAAAATGCAACCCATGGAGAGTTTCTGGTTAATTCTTCCTCACCTCCCATGGGGGCTTTGCGGCCATCAGCTTGCCCTGGGAGTCTTCCTTGCTAGTCCCGTCAGCATTCTTTACCTCAAAGGAGGGCTTAATGCCCCTCTTTTGTCGGGTCCTGATGAACTGCAGACTTCTTTGAGGACAAAGCTACAGGGCCTCCCCCAGCCCTTGCCAGTGATCATTCATATTTGTAAATCAGAAGGCGAGAACCGGTAGCCTTTGACTGACTTTACGTGACATCTAGCAAGTGACAGAAGCCCTATGGTGTCAATGTCGCAAAGAAATCAGACAGCGCCCTCAGAGTGAATAGCAAACATCCTTATGAAGGACACTTTTTATAGGTCTGTTCCCTGATACCAGGAAGGAAAGAAAAACCTTTTCACTTGAGGGCGACCTAGTCCCTGTTGGTAACAGAGGCCAGAGTGTTTAGGCCCTGCCATCTGCTTGAAACTTGGGGTGGGTTTTTTCATACCGGAATATCAGGTATGTTTCCTAGAGCTTCAGCTTTGGAATATATTGAAGCATGAATACTCCTCCTGGGTCTGTGTTTGCTAAGGGCCTACTGTGTGCAGAACACTGTTGGGTCCTGTGGGGGAGATGCAAGGATATTGTCATTTGCATATTTGTGTTCCACAGCCTTTCCCCTCATTGGACATAGCACATTATTCGACTCCCCAGTTGGATAATAGAGTAATAAAAGACTTAGAGTCACTGTGTGTATTAATGAGGATGATTCTGGTTATTGAAGAGAAATCAAAAAGGTGGAAATGTACATTCTTTGCAGACCTGTTGAGTTGTAAAGCTGGAAGTAAGTTGCACAGGTTAGGGGAAAGATCATGTTTCTGGCGTATAAAATGGCACATGATAACTTTAAACTTTGGTGACAATGAACCCATCCCAAGAAGACTGGTGATAAAATGCAGTCTTGTCTGTGGAAATCATTTTTGTCAACCCAGGCTTTGCATCAATTGCCTAGGTTGGGTAGCTACTAAGTCTCTTGACATAAAAGAATAAGAGACAGTCTGTGCATTCTTTCAGCTGCAAGCGGCAAAAACCCAGTTCATACTATTTTAAGCAAAAGGGAGGGTTATTGGCTTGTGTGTCTAAAGAATCTAGGGGTAGCTCAGGCATGGCTAGATCCAGGGTCTTCAGAGTGTTGTCAAGAACTGTGCTCGGCTCTCCTCTGTGTTGACTTCATTCTGTGGCTTATTCAGCAGCCCCAGGCTCCCATCCTCCTAACTGAACCCCAGTGGAAGGACAACCTTAGAAGTGCCAGCCAGAGTCTCAAGGCTTTCAATGAGCCATTTTGGGTTACTTGCCCATCCATAGACTGTGGCCATGGGATGTGATATGCTCACTGAACAGGCCTGGGTCGTGTGCCCACCCCTGGACCTCAGGGTGGGGTGGATCCGGCTCCTCCACAGACCTCATGGTCTGAGAGGGAGGTTTGCTTCCCCAAATACAAATCCAACTTGCTGATACCAGAAATAGGAAATGCATGCCAGGCAGGTGGAAACAGCAGATGGGAATCATGAGCTACTACCCTTGCTACTCTGGGTAGAAATCTTTCAGACCCAAGCGGATTTCCAAGCTGCTCATTTGTCTTGATGGAAAGAAATAAATAAAACACAGAAAAGCAGTGAGTGGGCAGGGCGTGGGGGGGAGCTCGAAGCTGTTTATTAAAGGAAAGTATGATTAACTCCTCTGCTAAGTCACGGTCTCTTCAGCTCATCACCATTGCTTGTCCACTGGGCCTTCCTTTGCTGTCGCCTAACAGATAATTACTGTCTCTTCTACGATATGATTAAGTGGAAGGAAAGACAATAGAACACAGTAGAACTGTGTTCTGACATTTGTTGTTAGTATTTTTTTTTTTTTTTAATCTGCTTGTCCTTGAAAACATCCTCAATAGCCATGGAGCTGCCCTTGGAATTTGGCGCCCCAGTGGATCTCGCATAATTCTTCTCAAAGGAATTCTTCACAGTCTGTAAAAAAAAAAATCATTATCGTTAATCTTCATGACCTCAAGTAGGGGGAGGTGAGTGGCAGAAATCTGTCCCCATTTGAAGAAATCGGGTCCGAGAGAAGCACCTTCTCCTACAAAGTTGTTTTTGTGCTAAAGCAGCAACTTGGAATTGAGGTGTATCTGAGGGGCTCGGTTTAAAGAACACGATGCTTTTGTTTTGAACACATGAAACACATGAACTCCCCTCCATAGCTCATACCTTCATTTTTCCATCCAGCCCCAGGGCTCTGGCTGCCTTCTCTAGGATTAGCACATTTTTTTCGGCTGGCAATGTTACAGTCTGTTTTTTAAGCAATGAATGCGGGAGCAAGTGGGTTATAGCATTGTTATGCTTCATGCTCGTATTGTATAAAATTGCTTAAAATACGTTAAAAACTTGTCTGCTTCCATGACTGCCCAGCAAAGAATGAATCTGTGTATTTTAACAATGCAACAGTGAAGTCCCAGCTGACTCTCTTCCGTACCAGAGTCTTTTTTGCTTCATTTAATAAAAGTGCAGCCACATGTGTGTTTATCATTTTTTTTGAGAGCAAGAGAATACTGTATACACAACCTTTTTTTTTTTTTTTAAAGATTTTATTTATTTATTAGAGACACAGCGAGAGAGGGAACACAAGCAGGGGGAGCGGGAGAGGGAGAAGCAGGCTTCCCGCGGAGCAGGGAGCCCGATGCGGGGCTCGATCCCAGGACCCTGGGACCATGACCTGAGCCGAAGGCAGACGCTTAACAACTGAGCCACCCAGGCGCCCCCTGTATACACAGTCTTAAGAGTACATTCTTCCTTTGTGCCATATTGATTTGTTCTCTTGGTCATCTGTTCAGAAATACATTCATTACCTTTGGGAAATTGCAAAAATGATTACTGCCAATGTTGCCTTTTTTTTTTTTCCATTAAAAATAGCTTCTGTGGTTTTTCTTATAAAAGCATCCATGCTTCTTGAATAAGAAAACAGATAAGGAAAAAGAATAAAAACTTTCTGGACTTCTCTGTGCCTACGTTTATTTCCGTGTATGTTTTTAATTTATAACAACAACATCCTACCATATATATTCTTTGCAACCTGTTTTTCCATAGTCAAGGTTGTTTCTTTTGTTTGGCTCCAGGTGGGAATGGAAGTGGCTCCACATCTCAAAGAAAGCCTGAATAAGAACTTTTTTGACTTCCTCCTCACATTCAAACAGGTAAGAGAACACTGGCAGAACAGCTCATTGACATAAGAGTTACACAATCTTGAATTCACAAAACCCAGTTGGATTTCCAAGTTGAGATTGCCTTAAAGCCCTTTAAATGTGTAAACCCTCGAAAATTACACTCGAGTCTGTTAGACAATTAAAATGTGTTGATTGTACTGAACAAGCAGAGAGAATTAATATGCATGTGTTAACAGGAAATGTCTCCAGTTGATCAGCCTTTCTTCCTCACATCTGCGGGCTCCATTTTTATCAGGTTATTTCTTTGCACAGTGCACATTCCCGAAACAGCTCAGCCTGGGGACATGGGGAACTTTCTGTGTGTTTTTTCTAGTTTAAAAAAAAAACAAAACAAAACCGAGAAACCAGGCTATTTCTCTCGGGGCCATCCAAATGCTCACAAGTATGCACAGTCTGCGAGTTACATGCTCTTCATTTATTATTATTCCCTTCCTTTTCTGAGTGTTTATTCGGTCTCCTCTAGATTCATGGGGATACGGTTCAGAACCAGCTGGTGGTCCAGGGAGTGGAGCTGCTGTCCTACCTGCCCTTGTACTCGCCTGCTATGGACTGGATCTTCCAGTGCATCTCCTACCATGCCCCCGAGGTAACTGCCGCGTGGCGTCAGCATGAAGTTCGCACGGAGGAGAAATGCTGGGGCTCCCTGCTCTTCCATATAGTGTCGTAATGACTCCTCCATCTATGTGCCCGGTCACGTCAACAGGGTCTTTCCGTAACAGCGACAACCATACTGATGCTAGCCACCCGATCCACAGGGCTCACTGTGGTGGCTGGTGCTGTGCACTGTGCTGCTCCTAGATTGTTTTGTTACCAGTGCTGGAGGGAGGCTCAGCCAGGGCAGACAGACACCTCTGACAGGTCGCGGAGCTCGAAGGTGGTGGTGACTGGGCATACACTGTGCAGTGTGGCTCCAGGGCCGGTGGGTTTCATCACCTCTTCACTAACCTTCATGACCCCCTCTCGTGTTTGTGATAATCCAGGAAGTCGGTAGAGCAGATAATAGTTTCCTTATTTTACAGAGGGAAAGTGAAACTGAGGTGTGTGATTGTGTTGATAAGATTTTTTTTCTGTTCTGTTTTTTTTTTTAAGATTTTATTATTTATTTGAGAGAGAGAGAGAATAAGCAGGGGGAGGGAGAGGGAGAAGCAGACTCTGGCTGAGCAGGGAGCCCCAGTGCTGGGCTCAATCCTAGGACCCTGAGATCATGACCTGACCTGAAGGGAGACACTTAACTGACTAAACCCTCTTTTTTTTTTTTTTGTTTTTTGGTCTAATTGAAGTATTGTTAGGAATTAAAGTACAATCGGAATCATAGCAGAAATATTTTTTTCTTACCCAAGACTGAGAAGTAGAACATCAGTTCCAGTTCGCATAATAACCACCATGATAGATGAAGCTTCTTCAACAGATGGTTCAGAATTTATCCTTTGGGGAGGAAGGAAAGGGGTCTTGCTACAAAACAAGGATGCATAGTGCAGACCAAAATTCAGGTACACCTGCCTTTTCACAGAGGCTGTAAACATATTGACACCCTAAAGAAAGAGAAAAAAGGACCTGACTTTGATTAAGCACTCCCACTTTTAAGAATATCATGTAGAGGGGCACCTGGGTGGCTCAGTCGGTGGAGCATTTCCCTTCAGCTCAAGTCATGATCCCGGGGTGTTGGGATTGAGCCCCACATCGGGCTTCTTGCTCTGCGGGGGGGGCCTGCTTCTCCCTCTGCCCCTGCCCATGTGCTCTCTCTCTCAAATAAATAAATAAAATCTTAAAAAAAAAAATCACGTAGACATAACTGGACAAGTGCATAAAGATGCAGGTGCGCACCTGTACATACAGATGTGTGGGTTGTTCAGGCTGGCCCAGCATCAGAAACAGCCATCACGAGGGGATTGGGTAGATTGTGGAATCCATATAGATTCAGTGAAATGTGACAGGGCCCACTTACAATGATGGAGGACCACGATGTGCATACGAACCTAAGGGTGCTCACAATAATTGGTGAGTCACAAAAGGAAGTTACACACCTTGCTCTGTGTGTCCTCAGTGGTAGCATGGCCTAGTGTTCAAGTGTGGGCCCTGGAGTTGGAATGCCTGGGTTTGATTCCCAAATCCATTGCTTACAGCTGAGCCTTTTTTTCTTCATCTGTGAAATGGGAGCTTTAATTCTTGTTTTTTTTTTTTTTTTGCACGGGTGGCGTAGGACGATCTATTTGCGTTGCTTGGTGGAGTGCCCCACACATAGTACTGGGGTGTTTGTTGTGTTGTCGGGATTGCAAACATGATTTTTATATCTGCATGAGAGAACTGGGCAGGAGGTATGTCAAAATATCACTGGAAGGTGAGATTTTGCATCATCTTAACTTAGTTTCTTGGCCTGCCGGTGGCTTCTAACTTTCCAACCAAATGTGCTGCTTTCCTTACATTTTAATTTTCCCAAATCCTAAAGTATGAGGGGAAAAATAGGAGCATCTTATATTTCAGGTGCCTTTTTTTTTTTTAACCATTAAGTTGATTTTAAATCAAGTCAGTATGAATGGAAGATTGTTTGAAAGGCCTTCAGGAGAGGGGGCACGAGCCTGAGTGTAGAAAGAGAGCCTCCCGACCTGTTCAGCTGAGTGACTGAAACATAGGAGCAGGATTGACGTGTTTGAAAATGGGAACACTTAGGTTTTTTTCTCCTTAACAAAAGGCCAAATTGGATTAAAACAAAAGGTACCTGTTATAAGGCATTCTTCCTTTTATTTTAAGCACCAGTAATCTCAAAGGATGGCAGAAGCTGGGAATAGAGCTTTCCCGGGGAGTAAAACTCTAGGAAATCATTACTGAGCCAGAAGAAGTGATTAAAAAAATTAGGTCACCTGAATAATAATAAACTCTGATTCTTGGGGCACTTAAATAAGGAACTTGCAACGTCTCATTAAAAAAATGTTAATCATTTTCAAAATGCAGAAGAATCAATGTCCGGGTAGAAGGTGGTGTTGAAAATGCGTGTCTCTGATGCCTAAAAACTCTCTTAGTGGCTGGGATGTGTCACTTGGGGAGTTAGGCTGTGCCTCCAAAGCAGAGGATTGTCTGTCTGGCTACAGCTGCTGGTAATATACAGGACAGGCAAGCAAGATGGGGGGAAAGGAGAAAAGCCTTCAGCTACGAATATCTGTCATATGAAATTTCAGATTGAAATTGAAATCCCAAATCCCCAGGAAAAAAAAAATCAGGGAGTGATTATTCAGAAAGGCTTTTTTGTTGTTGTTTGAAGACAGGATTTTTTTCTTTCCCCCTTATACAACTAAAATAAAATGATAGTAAGTAAAAAATGGATTTATGCCCCGAATTTCAGGCACATCCTGCGCAGGAGAAAAGTAACCATTTCACAAGATCTGGTTTTGGGTGGTGAAAACAAATCCCTTGGTAAGCTTCTCAGCATTTCAGTAGCTTTTCGTTCGTTGGGGGTGGCATGGAAGGTGTAGAAGGAAAAAGGCCTGGTCCTGGACATGAGTGGTGAGTCTCGTCTGACAGGCAATCCCGCGTGGTCTTCACTAAGCCCGAGAGGTGCAGGTTGTAAATGTTGGATGAGTGAAGAGGCAGGTGCACCAGTAGAGGCTGGGGTGGGCAGTTGGGCAGACCTGGGTTCAGACTATGGCTGTGTTGCCTTGGGCTACTTGACGTCTTTTATCAGCTGTAAAATGGGGCTAATAAAAGAAGCTTCCTTGAAGGGCTGTCATGGAGTGACTGTGATAGTGCCCATCTGTGCATGGCCAAGGGATGGGGGCACCAGGCAAAGGGGGTGACTGCCATCCTTATGTTTGGACTCACTGAAGCAGATGGGGTCTGGGCCGACTTGAAAATCAGGAAATAAGCAGGGGTGGGGTGGGGGGGGAGGGCGGGCCAAGGGAAGGGACTGAGGCAAGTAAGAGGCATAATAAGACCAGCCTTACTGGAGAAGAGTGAGAAATTAGGCTGGTTTGCAGAGGTTGTTGAACATAAGGTGGTGGAGATCAGGCAGCTCTTGGAGATTTTTGATCAGAATGATTTGAAACAAGCAGTACTTGAAGATCAAACTGGCAGAAGCAGACCAGACAGATCAGAAAAAGGAGAAGGGTTGGTAGCTGGGGCAAAAAAAATTAGAATGGATAGGAGAGAATTTCCTAATCAGAAAACATTTATTAATAAAAATACATACGGAGGGGCGCCTGGGTGGCTCAGTGGGTTGAGCATCCGACTCTTGATTTCAGCTCAGGTCATGATCTTGGGGTCCTGGGATCGCCCCCACTGGGCTCTGTGCTCGGTGGGGAGTCTGCTTGGGGTTCTCCCTCTCCCTCTCCCCCGCTCACATGCTCAGTCTCTCTTGCTCTCTCCCTCCCTCTCTTTAAAATAAACAAATTAAAAAAAGTATTCATATTTAGAAGAGACAGAAAAGTAAAAAGGTGAAAAACAGCCACCTAAAATCCTGCTATATTAACATTTTGATAGGTTTCCGTATTAATATTTCTCTGTCCACTCTGGCTTTTGCTCTGTATTTTTGTTTTATAGATGAGGATTTTTGTATGTGTAATTTTATGGTGCTTTTCCCTCACTTAATGTTAAAACGAATACCTGTTGTTAAGGAAGTTCTCTGACCCTCAGTCATGTCAGGAAGTGTTCAGCGTTGGGTTTGTTGGGTGTGATGAATGGAGGAGGGAGGTGAGTCAGAGATGCTAAGCTTTAGAGCCCTTCACACAGTCACCTCTTTCTGAGGCTCACTGGGGGCCAAGCCCTGTTTTAGTTCCTTTAGTTGGGCCACCTTACTTCATTCTCAGCTTCCCTAGGCTAGGTATCATTGTCATCCTCATTTTATAGATGAGGCACCTGAGGCTCACAACTTGCTAAGGTCACACAACTGGAAAGAGTCAAAGCCATGTAGCCATGTTGGCAGTAACTCTGAACCCAGCAGATGTGTTCTCTAAACTCCTCAACTCTTTCTTTCTAGATAACTCTTGTTAGTGGTTACACTTAAGGAGGGACTTAAAGGCCCTAACAAATCGACTCATGGGACTGTTACCTAATGGGCAAACTATAAGTTGCACTTTATTCTAAAATGTGGGGCACCTGGGTGGCTCAGTCAGTTAAGCGTCTGACTTTGGCTCAGGTCATGATCCCCGGGTCCTGGGATGGAGCCCCACATCGGGCTCCCTACTCAGCGGGCAGTCTGTCTGTCCATCTCCCCCAGCTCGTGCTCTCACTATCTCTCTCTCTTAAATAAATAAATAAAATCTTTAAAATAAATAAATAAAATCTTTAAAATAAATAAATAAATAAATATTCTAAAATGTGAGGCTGGTAATGCCAATCTAAGACTAGCCTTAGCCATTGCTGAATCCCTCTGATGCATATAGGTGTATCATTTTTGTTCTTTTGAATTAGGAAAAAAAAGTTCCCAGTGAAAGAGAAATGATGAAAAATTTAAAAATTTCTCCTTTTAATTCCTGGAGTATAGGATTTCTTTTTATTCACATTGAAATATTTTCTTTGAGACTTGAGCATATCAAGTCTGGACTGGAGGGAAGGGGCATATTGATTTTGCCCACCCTTTACGTGTTTGCTTCATTTAGAAAAATAAGGAAAATATGATACACATATCACTTAATTCTCTCTGTTTTGTTTGTTTGTTTTATGAAACAGTACTTGTAAACACTGATTGGAAGGTTATGTAGTAAAAGGAGGAATACAAATCTGGGAGCTGCATATGAGTCCATCTCAGTTTAGAAAGCAGAAGTGAGGTGTCAGCTCAACTTCTTTAGCTTTTCCTATACTTTTGAAGTACGTAAATAACCCTCATCTGGAGATAACCTTAAAGATCCAGTAGTTAAATACGGTGGTGGTTATAGACATCCATATATGTTAGTGAAATGTCACAAAGACATACCCTTCCCCCGTAATAAAGTGTGAATGGAAAACCTGGTGAAATATTCTAATTAATTGTATTATACCAACATCACTTTCCTTGTTTTGATAACACACTCGAGTTAAATAAGATGTCACTATTGGGGGGAGCCAGGTGACTGGTACCCAGGACCTTCTCTATTATTTTTATAATCTTTTATGAGTCTAATTCGCTCAAAATAAAAAATGCTTAAAAATCTATCAGGAGCAATCTGAACAGTAATGTTATATGCATGGTAGGGGTTCCGCAGCCATTAAAAAGAATGAGGCAGATGCGTGTGTGTAGTTACACGGGAATAGTGAAGCCCATGCTGGATTCTTGAGTCAAAAAGGCAAGTTGTGTCCCAAAATGTATATGACTGTTCATTTTTGTAAGACAAAAAAACCCAAACTGGACTTTTATAATAAAAGCTATATATTCACAAGGTATAAACAAAGGCCTAAAAAGAAACATGAAAATGTTGACACTGGTGATCACTAGGAAGCAGGAGTTGGGAGGGAAGGCATTTGCATTTTGCTTAACCGCACGGCGGTAGTGTTTGAGCATTTTTTCCGTAATAAGCATTTCTTATTTTTATAGTTTTTATTTTATTTTTTATTTTATGTTTTTTAAAGGTTTATTAGAGGGTGGGGGGAGGGAGGGGCAGATGGAGAAAGAGAGAGAACCTCAAGCAGACTCCGCGCTGAGCATGGACCCTGATGTGGGGCTCCATCTCATGACCCTGAGATCATAACCTGAGCCAAAACCAAGAGTTGGATGCTTACTCGACTAAGCCACCTAAGCGACCCTATTTTTATAGTTTTTGTGAAAAACAAATATATAAATAAATGAAACGTAGGGGCCGTCCAAGTCTCCTGCACCTTCAAGTTCTGATGTGTGTGTACAAGCTAATATGCTAAGCTGCACATTTTCCTAGTTCATCCCAGCCAACAGGCTTGTTTCGGTCTCAGTCTGGTTTGAACTGTTGTTTATCTCGTTCTTGCCAAAGGTAATCGATCCTGTTACTTCTCAGAAAAAAAATTCTGACCTCTAACAGATGTGCCTGGGATCCATATCATGTGGCTCCCTGGACACTTACGGGTACTTCCTATATTCCTATATGATGACCGAGCTTTTTTTTTTTTAAAGTTACATATTTGGATACATTTTTAATGCATTCATCTCCTGTGAAGGAAATTTTTAAGCATTTGTCTTAATGGCCAGAATGTTTTGTCCATATGTTGGCATTTACCAACTTTTTTCAGAAGTGGTAGGCCAAGAGCTCTCATTTATTTGTGTGTGTGTGTGTAGGAGAGAGAATAAGCCACATAAGGGCATGGTTTTCTGTTTGATTTTCTCACTGCCCTGTTTCCAGGGCCTAGGATAGTGCTTAGTGCCTTAAAGTTGCTCCATAAGTAGGTATTGAATGAGTGATTACTTTTGCATGTTGGGCAGTGTTGGTGTGACACTCCTACAGGATATCTCTTTCTCAATCTTTTCCAGAAACCACTTTGATATTGGTCTTCAGGAATGACTTTTCAAGTATAAATACCCCATGAGTGGATTAGGGAAACCATTTGTGACATTGGCAGTTTTATTTTCAGTTGGGATGCTGACTATAAGGAACAAACACCTCATTGGCCCTACCAAAATAATTCAGTGTCTTTTCTCACACAGCAAGTGCAGGCCATGGTCCAGGCAGGTTCTGTCCATCTCTCCTCTGTCATCCTCAGGTAGCAAAGTGGCTGTAGCCATTCCAGGCCTCGCATCGAAACCTGGCAGCATCCAGAGGCAGAAAGATGAAGAATCTACAATTCCTTGGGTTCCTGTTTAAGAACAAGGGAACCTTTCCTCAGAACTCCCATTCCAGCAGCTAGAAATGGGTCATGTGCCCATTGTCTAAATCCCACACTAGCAAAGGGAATGGGGATCAGTTTGGACCTGTGTTAATTTGCTCAGGCTGTGTCTTCGTCCGTTCTGGCTGTTAAAACAAAATGCCACAAACTGGGTGGCTTATCAATACCAGGTATTGATTTCGCCCAGTTCTGGAGCTGGGAAGTACAAGATCAAGATAAGAGCAGATCTGGTGTCTGGTGAAAGCTTACTTCCTGTCCGTAGACGTCTGTCTTTGCTGTGTCTTCACGTGGCACAAGGGAGTTTTCTTGGGCCCCTTTTATAAGGGTATTAATCCCACTCACGAGAGCTCCACCCTCATGACCTGATCACCTCTTAATATCATCACCTTGGGAGTTAGGGGGCCATTCAGACCATAGCAGGTTGCCATAATAGACTGGAGGGCTCGAACAACAAAAATTTATTTTCTCACAGTTCTGGAGGCTAGAAGTCCAAGATCAAGGTGCTGGCAGGGTTGGTTTCTGGTGAGGCTTGTCTTCTCACTGTGTCCTCACATGGTCTTCTCTCTGTGCCTGTGTGTTCCTGGTCTCTCCTCTTCTTCTTCTTCTTCTTCTTCTTTTTTTTTTTTTTTTAAGATTTTACTTATTTATTTGAGAGAGAGAGCCCGAGAGCAGGAGAGAGAGTGAGCATGAGCAGGGGGAGGGGAGGGGCAGAGGCAGAGGGACAAGAAGCAGGGAGCCCGACGCAGGGCTTGATCTAGGACCCCAAGATCATGACTTGAGTTGAAGGCAGATGCTTAACTGACTGAGCCCCCCACGCACCCCTCTCTTTCTTTTCTTATAAAGACCTCAGTCCCATTGGATTAGGGCCCCACACTTAGGACCTCACTTCTCACTGATTACATCTCTAAAAGCCCTATCTCCAAACGCAGTCAGTCACATTGGGCATTAGGGCTTCATCATACAAATTGGGAGCGGACCTTATTCAGTCCGTAACAGGCCCCACCCTGATGTTTGTAGGGCAGAGACAGAAATCTGAATGAAGTTGGGGTTCTGGGGTACGGGCAGTATCTCCACAGTCAGCTTTCACCTTAATTATTCAGGCAACACCTAGGACACAGCCCGACGGGGTACAATTGCGCTAAAGACCACGGGGGGCCAGATTCCTACGAATCTCATTTCCACCACTTACTGGGAAGCAGCTTAATGCTTCTGAGCTTTGACTTTCACTTCTGTGACGTGGGGATAACAGGCAGGCCTCCGAAGACTGCTGTGAAGAGCCAACAAGAAAAGGCAAGTGCTTAGCCTGGTGCCCGGCAAGCTCTCAGTGTCCAGGTTGCTGTTAGTGGCTCTTCAGTCTCAGGGTTGACCTCGTCTGTGCCATTCAAAACCTTCCCCAAACCACTGACCTAAAGGATACCTCTTCCATTGATTTTTGTGAAAAAAACAAACAAACAAAAAAACCAAAAAACAAAAAAAAACAAACCAGGAGCTCTTTTAGAAATATGTAATTGTCTTAAGATAGCTCTAAAGCCATTAACGGTGTTTCAGTGAGTAAAATATTTACTTCCTTTCGCGGAAAACATAGGCTTCAAAACTCGTTGGGAGGAAATGTGATAAAGAGTGTAGCCTTTGATGCCAGATGGCCTGGGTCACGTCTGGCCCGCGGTAGCTCACTGTGTCACCTTGGTCCAAACACATCACTGTTTCATGGCTCAGTTTCTCCTGCGTAGTGGGAGAGCCTGCCTCATGGATGGCGTGAGAGGCGAGATCATGCATGCGAAGTGCATCTCACTGTGCACGGTGGGCACTAGCAAATTCTCAGTGAAATGAGGAATGCGGGGGTGTCGTGGGAGAGGTGGGGAGTAAAGTAACTGCCATTCTCATTGGTGCCTGGAATGCAGCAGGTACCTCACCATCCTGTAGTAACACTGCACGGGGGATGGTACCACTTGCATCCTATGCCAAAGGGTGAGGAAACCCAGGCTTCACGAAGTCAGGTGACCGGCCCAAGGTCTCATAGTTGGTGAGACTGGATTTGAACCCAAGTATGCCTGATGCCAGGGCCTCAGCTCTTCTCTGTTATATCAAATGCCATAAAGGTGAATTCCACCCCCCATCCCCACCCCTGACTCCCCATCTTGGCCAGGTACTGAGAGTTAACAGAAATGGGCATGTGGCTCCATTTACGTGAGAGTATTACTTTGGAGATTCCTTTGTGAGAAATGTTTTTAGATTCTCCAACCTGATGGTTTTCATTGTAATTATTTTTAATTAGACTCTGCTAACTGAGATGATGGATAGATGCAAGAAACTAGGAAACAAGTAAGTATTTTATTTTTTTAATTTATTTAAAAAAAATTTTTTTAAAGTAAGCGTGGAGATCAGTGTGGCACTTAAACTCACAACCCTGAGATCAAGACCTGAGCTGAGGTCAAGAGTTGGACGCCCAACAGACTGAGCCACCCAGGTGCCCCAGTATTTTAAAATTCAAGAAACATGGGTTTGGAAGTGGAGCTGGTTGATTTTTTTTTTTTTTTTTGAGCTTGGCATGCTCACGTGGTCGAGAGGATCAGCAGAGCGACAGGATGACAACAGAGGGCAGGAAAGTTGAGTCCAGTCTCCTGGCTTCTGATTCCTGGCTCCACTCTTTCTTAGCTTTGTGAACTGGGGTCACCTACTTGACCTCTCTATGCCTCAGGCTCCTCATCCGTAAAATGGGTTTAGTAATAGTCCTTTCCCCATGGGGCTGTGGTAAGTGGTAGGGTCAAAATAAACTCCATTTTCCTGTCCTCCAAGCATATGAGGTTTCCCCTCTGCTCTCCCTTCCGTGGTAGATGTCCCTAAGTCACTGTGTCCCCTAGGTCCTAGAACAGTGCTTTTTGTAAGAGGTGGAGATACGTATTTTATATATTTGCAGTTTGGATCAATATTGTAACTTAATGTTTAGTTTTATTAGTGCACCAGCCAACAAAGGCTCAGTTTACATCTATTTAAATGGAATTGATTGCTTGCTGTCCATCAATCCGGCCAGCCAGCCAGCTACCCATTCATCCAGTCAATTCAACATTTACCGAGTTCCAAATGTGTATAAAACATCGTGTTGTTCTCTAGAGGTTGCCTTTTCACGCCAGCCTTTTAAAATTTTTTTCCAACTTTACCATTAAAGAGTTCTCAATTCCTCCTTCCCAGCAACGTACATACTTAAAATTAAAGTGACTTTCATTAAGGGGCAGATCTGCTGATGTGGGTCGTGTGTCTTACAGCGCCTTGCTGTTGAATTCTGTGATGTCAGCTTTCCGGGCCGAGTTCATCGCCACGAGGTCCATGGATTTCATTGGCATGATTAAAGAGTGTGATGAGTCAGGTTTCCCTAAGGTAGGCTCTTGTGGGAGAGCAGATAGGCACCGTTTACCTGAGAGCTGTCGAGGGAGACAGTCCTTGGCCGGGGTGGGGCGGTGGGGGGAGCAGCCCGGGCCAGCAGGAAAACAGGCGAAGGCTCTGTCTCTGAAGAACACGATAGAAGATGAGTTCGTGATTGGGATTGTTCGTCATGTGTCATTGCTGCCAACGAGTCCTAAATCTATCGAATTAGCTCACTGTGAAGTATTTAGGAAAGGCTCAGTCCCCCATCTTTAAAAATGTATCTTCACTCGTTATTTATGAAAAGCTCTGTCCAGCTGAATGTTAGGGCCCACCAATCAGAGCGGTATACGGAGCCGGCTCTTTGTTCTGAGCAGCTCAGTCGGACTTGCACGTAGGCCTGGGGTAGAACTTCAGGAAGGTCATTGGAGGATGAGCCCTGAGATGAGCTCAGTGTTAGAGCATTCTCCACTAAGCCTCAAGGTGCTCCGATTTAAATTCCCCAGTATTGTAATGGTTCGCTCTTTTTCTTAGCATCTTCTTTTTCGCTCACTGGGGTTAAACTTGGCCTTGGCTGACCCTCCTGAGGGCGATCGACTCCAGATTCTCAATGAAGCTTGGAAAGTTATCACTAAGTTGAAGAATCCACAGGTGGGTGACTATTCAGAACTTAGATCGACTATGCCTGCCTTTTGTCCAAGTTCTGCAGTATGTTCTTTCCTTTAAAAAAAGTTATCTTTTGACTAATCATATGTCTGGGTTTTTTTTTTTTTTTAAGAAATAATACTTCTTTTAATTTTTTTTGCTAACCTATAGTGGAGAATTGATAGCTGTAAAGATATATTTATTTGGTTTTTGTATCCTAATTATGTCTAATTCTTGAGGCTTCAGGATTTACTAAAAGTGTAAAATTATAAATATTTGAAACTTTAAAAGGCCTCTGGCTTTGTAAACAGCATCCAAAGTACAACTGTCTATAGTATTTGGATTTGAAAGTAACAACTGAGTAAGATATTCCTAAATGGAAGATCAGCAGTCAAAACTGTAATTAGCAGAAGGGAATTCCAGCTGTTGTCCCTTGAACTGTTGTTCCCTGAGCAGAGACAGCTGGGGCCTCTTTCTCCCCCAACTTCAGGTCGGGGAGTCTAGGAAAGATGGACCAGCCAGTGTTAGGTGCCAAAGGCGTGTAGTGCCATAGTGCTGGAGGTTTGGGTTGCCCATCTCACCACCCTTGTCGGCAGCACGCCAGCAAGTTTTGCGGCTGCCACTAGGTAAATGGTACTGGCTGCCTTTGGCTGAAGGACCGGCTGGGCAGACTTCACCACACTGCACACCGTTCCTCTCCTGCTAGCAGCATGTCTTAGTTCAGCTGCTATAACAGAACAGCACAGACCAGGGGACTTACAGACAACAAATTTATTTCTTGCAGTTCTGGGGTTTGCAAGTTTGAAATCAGGGTGACAGCCTGGTCAGATTCTGGTGAGGGCCCTCTTCTGGATTTGCAGACAGCCAGCTTTTCCTCCTCCCTTGGCAGAGAGGGAGAGTGGGCTCTCTGGGGTCTCTTTTATCAGGGCACTAATCCTATTCATGAGGGTTCTGCCCTCATGACCCTATCACCTCCCAAAACCACCTCCTAATGCCAGCACACTGAGGGGCTGGGATTTTCAACACAGGCATTTTGGACGCAAACATCTAGTCCAAAACCCAGCAAATAACTCAAGAAGGGTACGTAACATTTGACACAATAATTTACCAAGAAGGAAATATTAGAGCGAGTTCGGTTATAAACCCCTTTCCAGTCACCGCACTTACAATAGTATATTGCGAATACTGGCCTAATTTAGAAATACCAGAGACTTGTTTACCAAATCAAATACCTAGGTTAAGTTTAGCAAAACCCTCACTAAACTTCATAAGCTAAACTGTTTAACTTTACTGTGATCGGCTAACTGAACAGCTTATTTAGCATGTGTAAAGTCCAGTCCCCGGGCCTCTGATGCCTTTGTGTGAGTGCTTCCAAGCAACCTTGCATCAAAAGGCCACATTGATGGTTTTCTTCAGTCTTGAACTTCACACGGCCTTCGCTTTCCAGTCCGACCTTCAGATGTTCCTGGCTTTTCTTATGTGAACGAGATAACTATTTTCTTCCTTCCGCATTTCTTCTTTCTTTCCCTTAAAGTGTAGGAATAGAAGAGACACGCTCGAGCGCTTGGTTTCCCCACCTTGAGTGTCTTCTGGGGCACGCAGCCATACCCAGCTGTTCACTGCCATCCATGACCATCCCATGGGCTCTCCGTGGGCCCTCCCCCCTACTTGAATCTAACACCTAATTTTTTACCTGAAATCTTCAGTGTTTTCTTAGCCTTTTTACAACATACACATCACCCCTCTATCAGAAAAATGGTTTATTTTTTAAAGGTAGGAAGCCTGTTTGTTTCTTTTTCTCAGAACGTGCAAAAATCACATTTAATTCTGGTCATTTTTTTTTTTTTAAGATTTTATTTATTTATTTGACAGAGAGACAGCAAAAGAAGGAACACAAGCAGGGGGAGTGGGAGAGGGAAAAGCAGGCTTCCCACTGAGCAGGGAGCCCGATGCGGGGATTGATCCCAGGACCCTGGGATCATGACCTGAGCTGAAGGCAGACACTTAATGACTGAGCCAACCCAGGCGCCCCTAATTCTGGTCTTCAACCAGATCCACCATCAATGTCTCTGCTGAGGTGTGGCCCGGACTCGTGACTTTTATCTCCACTGCCTTTCAGTTCTTCCCAGATTCTATCTTGGCCCAAGTAGCAATTCTGGAATGTTAGTTAGTTTCATGCAACTGCTGTATTTCTATAACTTGCTTCTTAGGGTAAAATATATCGATGGGCTAGACTTTTCTGTAGATGAACCAACCAGTCTTGAAATTCCTATCACTTACCTCCTTTAATTGTCAGAGCTCTTGAAGGGGTTTGTACGTGATGAGCTTTTACCATAAGGCCCCTCAGGGTGTTCTTATCGTCAAGACATTTTTGCTTTTTCTCTGCAGGACTACATTAACTGTGCCGAAGTGTGGGTGGAGTACACTTGCAAGCATTTCACGGTATGTGTGGCCTGCGGTATTGTTTCTGGAAGAGTTATGTTTTTATTCATGTTTATAATAATGAACGAGGCTAGCTGAGGCATTTAGGCATTTTACAATGGTAATTGTCCTTAATTTATAAAAATCACATCCTTTATGTTACACTGCGGTGGAGCATGAATATGTGCATTTTTTTAAAAGATTTTATTTTTATTTATTTGACAGAGAGAGAGACAGCCAGAGGGGGAACACAGCAGGGGGAGTGGGAGAGCGAGAAGCAGGCTTCCCGCGGAGCAGGGAGCCCGATGCGGGGCTCGATCCCAGGACCCTGGGATCATGACCTGAGCCGAAGACTGAGCCACCCAGGCGCCCCTGAATATGTACATTGTAACAAAAGTATTCCAGACTCACGTGTAAATTGGGGAAATGCTCCCTTATCCCAAGAGAAGCAGTTTTTTTCACCATCGGAAACCTTAAGATGCTTACTTGCTAAAGCGCAGTGTGACTCTCCCTGGGGGTCCATTCAGTAGCATTTCCACATATTTGACTTGTGTGTAATTTTTTTTCTAAGCAAAGGCACTTCTTTTCCTGTGCCCATACTGGAACCTCAGTTTGGGAAATAACTGGGCTTGCCACGTAATGGAGATTTTAGAAGCAGGCACACCTGGGTTCAAATCCTGTTGCCAGAATCCAAATTTTCATCAGCTTTTAAAAACCGAAGTATAGCATATATGCAGAAAAATGCATGTATTGTAAGTTTGCTACCTAATGAATCTTGAGGAAGTACATCCGTGTGATCATGGTCCATAGAAGCAGGGAATAACTCCCCGAAGCCCCCTGAACTGTGCCCTCCGTCACAGTCCCCGACCGTTGGAAGTTGAAGGCAGCCACCGTTCTGGCCTCTAACTCGGTAAATTGGTCTTGGCCTTGTTTTAAGCATTATGTAAGCGCTGCTCTGTTGATTTTGTTTCTTTGGTCCAATTTTGGTTTTATGCTTTATTTTGGAAAATTCAAACATGGTATTCCTTGAACTCATCACCCAGAAATGATCAACTCATGACAGATCTTGTTTCATTTAGATCTTTACCCCTTCTCTCCACCCCTGGGTTATTCTGAAGCAAATCTCAAACACCGTGTCTTCACCTGCCAGTTCTCAGCACATATATGTTAAATATAAGATTCCCTTTTCTGAAACCAAATCCTGACTATCTTATCTTAACTAAAAAAAAAAAAAATACTGCTTTTAATATCCTTAAAAATCAATGATCAGATGTCCCCAATTGTCTTGCAATTTTTTTTAGAGTTTATTGTTCAGCTGGGATTAAAATAAAGCCTGTACATTGCCGTAGACGTCTTAGGGTTCTTTTAAACTGTAAATTCTCTTTCCCCCCCTCCTTCCCTTCCCTTCCCTCCACCCCATCTGTGATTTATTTGTTGAAGAAATTGGGATCTTTGTCCTGTAGAATTTTCCAGTCTAGACCAGCTAGTTGCATCTGGTGATGGTGTTCTTCTGCTGTCAATATATCCTGCCAATCAGCAGTTAGTTCTAGAGACTTCATCAGCTTCAGATTAGAGTTTCTGGCACCGTGGGTGGTGGTTGGGCACTTCTCCTGGGAAGCTCACAGTATCAGGCTTTCTCTCTATAACGTGGGCAGCCACCGAAGCTCGTTGCATCTCACTGTTTCTCAGGGGCTGCAAAATGGTGATACCTGGAATTACAATCAACTCTTCTCTGTTCCTTAGCTGGGATACTTGTAGAAAGAGAAACTTTTCACGTCGGGTGTTTGGTTACCCTGAGGTACAGCTTGTGCAGAAAAGGCAGGGATGCTGCTGGTTTGTTTCCTTTCCTTTACTAGTTTTAGAATGAGGCTTGATTCCTCAGCATCCCCAAAGGTGACCAGTGAGTAGTAGTTGTTGGTGTCTTTAGGAGCACATGGATTTAAATATACTTGAATTACATCATTCTTACTGACGCTCATTTGTCCCTTCTTTGTCCAGTGGATGGCTTTTCAGGTTGGCTCCTGAGTCCTTCTGACATGTTCTCCGTAGTCTTTGATGCCTTCCTTGCTTTCTCTTATAAGATGTTGCAGGCTCCCTGGCATAGTTTTTTTTTTTTTTAATTTTATTTTATTATGTTATGTTAATCAGCATCAGCTGTTTCTCCAAGGAGCTCTGGTTCCTTTCAGTGCCGTTGTCAGTTTTGTTTTTTTTTAAAGCTGTGTGACCCTAGCTAAGTCATGTAACTTCTCTGAGCTCCACTTCCTCATCTCTAAAATGGGGGATAAACATGTCTGTGCCAGGGAGTTTAATGAGCATTAGGCAAGAGAGTAAACATAACAGCAACTATTTAGATAACAAATATCAAATACCAGGCGCCTTACCTGTGAGCTGTGCAGCTTCAGAGACACCTTGTCAGGAGGCTTCATTCTTCCTGTTTTAAGGACCAGGGGTCAGCATACCTTTTCTGTGGTGAGCCAGACAGTAAATATTTGATGTGTTGTGGACCATACGATCTCTGTCACAAGTATCCAACCTCTATCACTGCAGCATGTGAGCAGCTATAGACAACATATGAGTGAGTACAGCTGTGTGTTCCAGTAAACTTGATGCACACTGAAATTTGAATCTCATATAATTTTTGTCATGAAATATTATTCTTCTGGTTTGAATGTAAAAATCATTTTTAGCTCGTGGGCTGTATAAAAACAGGCCCAGGGCTGGATTTGGGCCGTGGTTGGTTGACCCCCTGATAGAGATGACAAAAGCCAAGGTGGGCATCGAGGTCACTCAGCTTGTAGGGGCTGAGTCCATGCACTTCCCACAAGGCCGCACTGTGCCGTCTGCCAGCGCCAGGGGAGCGGCCTGGGACAGGCAGGGACAGAGTGGCACAGCTGATTTTATCAGCACTCACGGAAAGCAGCGGGGACAGTGTAACACCCCAGAACCTTTGAGAACAATGTTTTAGTCCTGACCTGGTGCAGAAGTAGTTACCTTCAGGGCTATGATATGGGTGGGAGTTCTCCCTTAATATTATTTCCAGCAGAAGATTTGAAACTGTTTCCTGGAAAGTATGTGGTATGTTCTGAAAATGTTAGTCCTTTCCCCCAGAAAAGTGGTCAGTGACTGCCTTTCAGTGTCTAACACAGGTTTATCCCCCACCCCCGCTTAGAAACGAGAGGTGAATACTGTTCTGGCTGATGTCATCAAGCACATGACTCCAGATCGTGCATTTGAAGACTCCTACCCTCAGGTAACAGCTTTGCTTTTCTCATTTCCACACTGTTAGGAATTGTACTCTGTTGAATCACATAGGCATGTTGCATGGGTCAGGCTGTAAAGTCAGATAATCCTGGGTTCAAATCCTAGCTCTGCCATATCATCGCCATCTGCCCTTCACTCCACTACTTAACCTTGTTGTGCCTCAGTTTTCTCACTTGTAAAATGGGGCTAATAGTCCTACACTCAGAGTGGCTATGAGGATTGCATGAGATATGATATGAGATGCCCTGGCACAGGTGCTTGGCACCAGTAAGTAAGGGGCCTGTGTTTTCCAGTTAAACTAACTTTTATTTGGAAATAGTTAAGCTTATTGGAAAATAGAATAGTTCAGAGAACTCCCATTATTATGATTATTTTTTTAAAGATTTTATTTATTTATTTGACAGGGAGAGACAAGGAACACAAGCAGGGGGAGTGGGAGAGGGAGAAGCAGGCTTCCCGCGGAGCAGGGAGCCCGATGCGGATCCCAGGACCCTGGGATCATGACCTGAGCCGAAGGCAGACGCTTAACCGACTGAGCCACCCAGGCACCCCTGAACTCCCATTATTTTTTAGTCAGATTCACCAACTGTGAACATTTTCCATGTTTGCTTTATCATTATCATGTGTACACACACACATATGCACTATATGTGTGTAAATTTTTTTCTGGCTTCTTTGAGGATAAACAGTTGCATGCTACTTTGCCTCTGAAGAATTCAATGAATATTTCCTAAGAACAAGGACATTCTCCATATAACCAGTTCGGTTATCGACTCTAGAGAATTTAACATTAATATCTTATTGTCTCCTCCACAGTCCAATGTCCTTGATAGCAGATTTTTTCCTCCTCCAATACAGAATCCAGCGAAGGTTCATTTACTGTCAAGTAACTTTCAACCTAATTAAGATTTTATTTTTTATTTAATAACATGACGTTCTGGCGCTTATTGCAATCAATTTTTAGCTTCACTTAGTAGAAGAAAATTAATTACATGTTCTTGTAGGAAGGTTAGAATTCTAACATTTTGGTAAGAGTGTTTTCACCATTTGCTAATTAAAATAGTTAATCATTAGAATTTATTGAGTAGGCACTGAATACCTGACATTTTTCTCGGGGTGATAGTCTTGCACAACAGGCCCTTGGTAAGCATCACTGAGTAAATGAACCGTGTAGAGGAGATGGGTCATACCCTTGTGGGTCGGCAAGATCTTGGGTGCATATGAAGACTGAGATGCATTAGAATTTTTGTTGAGGAATATTTAGTAAGACCTTGACTCCTAGGGACCCATTTAATTGAAGACTTTAACATAATTTTAATGCAGTCCATTCCTAAGAGAGAGAGGAATAATTACATTATACAATTCTGTCATATCTAGAAGCAATTTATGAAAGGTACCCCAGGGGTCAGCCTGCATTCTGGATAGCCACCCATATGAGTTGTGAGCCCCTTGTCTTAAGCGATTTATTTATTTTTATTTTTTATTTTTTTAAAGATTTTATTTGACAGAGAGAGACACAGCGAGAGAGGGAACACAAGCAGGGGGAGTGGGAGAGGGAGAAGCAGGCTTCCCGTGGAGCAGGGAGCCCGATGCGGGGCTGGATCCCAGGATCCTGTGATCATGACCTGAGCCGAAGGCAGATGCTCAACGACTGAGCCACCCAGGAGCCTCGTCTTAAGCGATTTAAACAAATGATTTCAACAGCAGTGTTTTTAGTGTAAACAAAAGTACCTGTCAGTAAATTTTCTCTTCTCAACAGTAACTAGGGGCGGAGGTTTATATTTTCCTTAGAAAAAACACCTCTGTGGTTCTCCCTGTCAACAGGACTGTGTGTATCTCAGGGTGGTGGGGGTAGACATCAGTACCTGGGTATCTGGAGCTGACCTTAGAGACTGTGCCATCATCCTTGGGTAATGATGTGGCCTTTGACTCCACCAGCAAACTCTGTTCATTGCCTCTCCACAGAAGTCGTTAAGAAACACAGGGCCATGATGGGCTGGAACAGGGGTGTGCCAAGTATAACCCATAGACCAAATGTAATGCAGCCCACCACCTGTTATTGTGAATAAAGTTATATTGGATCCAGCCATGCCCATTTGCTTACATGCTCTCTCTGGCTGCTTTTGAGCTGCAGTAGCCGTGTTGAGTAGTTGTAATGGCTCTGTGGCCCTTTGACGAAGCTGTTTGCCGCCCCCCCCGAATATTCACAGCTGACTTTATAATAGACAGCTTTCCAAGGAAAGGCACTACACTGCTGTAAGCACGTTACACGAACCATCCCATTTAACCCTCACAGTGAGCCAGGTACTGCTTTGCTCTCCATTTTACAGAGGCGGAAGATGAGGCTGGGAAGTGGCTTCCCCAAGACTACAGAGTAAAATGGGCAAACTCAGACTGAGACAGGGCCTAACCTTTAACCCCCAGTAATCTCCCATTCCCGAGTCACCCAGCTTTCCCTTATTGTAATTGTAATTTCAAATTATGAAAGAAGGTTGCCTTTTAGAAATATCCAACTTTTGGAATGCCTGGCTGGATCTCGGGGTTGTGAGTTTGAGCCTCATGTTGGATGTAGAGATTACTTAGAAATAAAATCTTGAAAAAATATATCCAAGTTTTATTAATGATGTGTTTTCTGTTCGGTTTTGCAGCTTCATTCAATAATTAAGAAAGTGATTGCCCACTTCCACGATTTCTCCGTTCTTTTCTCAGTGGTAAGTAGCATTCCTTAATTACCTTTGGAAATTTGTGTCTCCGTCAGAGGTTCACTTAGTGTCTCAGTCATGTTTTCATGGTGTCCCAAGCCAAAACAAATACTTAACAGTTCCCTTTAGAAAGTAGTTAGGTCTAAACAACTTCAGTATTTATGGCATAACAACTTAATCAGCGTTTGAAAAATGAGTACCCAGACGGAGAGAAAAATATCTTTCTTTCTTTCATGACTCGCTCATGGAATGTGTGCCCCTCTTGAACAGCACACAGCTTCTCAAACCTTGAAGTCAGACTGGGTGTTCTCTTCCACACTGATTTTCACAGGACACTTGCTTTTTACCACACATACAGTCTAACGTTGAAACTCTGGAGTACGTCGAACTAATTGTTGTCTCATTGTCTGACAGTTGAAATTTTTGTTATGTGTCCCTCACATTTTAAAATACCCCACGATGCCCCTTCACACTGGCTGCATTGCCCTGGGCAAGTACAAATCTAGAGGATTCTCTTCCCTGTCACGCCTCCCTCTTCGGGTTTCCATTCATGTACACTCACGGAACTGTTTGTTTCTTGTTTATTTTAAAAATAGAACCTCTTATTTTTTGGAGATTCTCCATACCCCAAGCACCGTGCTGGAACTTTGCATGTGTTGCCTCGTACCATTTTCACAACACCACTAGGAAGTAGGAGCAGTTAGAATTCCCACTTTACAGTTGGGAAAACTGATGCTGGAGGAGGTGGAGTAACTTGAGTAAGGTGGCACAGTTTTGTTTTTTGTTTTTTTTGTTTTTTTTAGGTGGCACAGTTAGTAAATGTAGAGTCAGGCTGTGGGGGCCACTCTGAACAACTGGCTCTTCTTTCTCTGATCAGTACAGTCGTAAAAAAGAAGCCCACCTTGTGTGTTGTTACCTGGAGAAGCCCATGGTCATCTGAAGCTTGCCCAGATGGTTCCCAAAATGTTCACTGGCCCCAGCCCTGACCCCTGGGGCATGTCAGTGGTTTTAACCCTACGAGCTTTCACAAACCTGCTTTCAGGTGGGTCCTCCTCTGACCTGCCTCAGAGAGATGAATAGCTCTTTCTCTGCTCTGACCTTCAAAGAAAAAGGGACTCAACAAATCCCTTCCAGCAACTTGTGTAAATTGCATGGAGAGTGTTTTGTTTTTTTTGTTTTGTTTCTAGGAAAAATTTTTGCCGTTTCTGGACATGTTTCAAAAAGAGAGTGTGCGGGTGGAGGTTTGCAAGTGCATCATGGAAGTTTTTATCAAGTAAGTGTAACATGGTGTCACCAGAAGCTTGGATTCCTGATGCCCCTGTGAAGCATATGGATAAGAATCACTCTGTGTCCTTGGAGGCCTAATGATCTGTATGCATTTAACATCTAAAATAACATGGAGAGGAAAAACACATTACAAGGAGCAGTCATGATAAAAGTTTGTAATTAGTGCCTAAGAAGACAAAGCCATAAGTAGTAGTTGGAGCCTGGCCATCACCTACATTGTATTCTGATGTGTTTTTGGAAGGAGCAATCTGTTAATGAACTACTTAGGGAGTAACATTTTAAAAGATAAAAATAAAGTCATACTTGTCAAGGTCGCAGAGCTAGAAAGCTTTCCGTCTTCAATGCCTTAGATTTGTGATTGATTTTTAAATTCAGTTGCTTTCCTTTTGACTAAATCTGTGTTTCCCCAAACAACCTACTGTTGGTGGTACAGGAAATAATTCTAGGTGGCACATGGAGGAGAGATTTTGATTTTGATTTGAAAAGTTGTATGTTTAATTTAAAGTGTATTCAATATACAACTAGTTTAATTGGTGTTTTCATGTATTTTTTTTTAGGACAGAATTAAATTTAAAAAGTTAAAGTTGCTTTATTTTTTAAAGATTTCATTTATTTATTTGACAGAGAGAGAAAGCACAAGTAGGAAGAGAGGCAGGCAGAGGGAGAAGCAGACTTCCCGCTGAGCAGCGAGCCCAATGGAGGGCTCGATCTTAGGACCCTGGGATCAAGACCTGAGCCGAAGGCAGTGCTTAACTGACTGAGCCACCCAGGCGCCCCTAAAGTTGCTTTAAATATTAAATATATAGATATGGTAAAATAAAGTGTGTTAAGATGGAACTTAAATAACCCTGGTTTGGAAAATTGAGTTAGATGTTGCTTGAATAATGTATGTTTTAAGCTTGCCTTGTGTTGTCTTCCTGAAATATTAATTCCATATGCTTGGAAACAAATATACTTCCTTTACTTACGTAAAGATTTGTTATAAGACCTTGTCCTTCTGTATTATTTGAAAAGCCAAATTACAATTTTGCCTGGCACTTAACACAGTTGTAGATGGGTTGTGGACTGCTTTAGAAAGAAATGTAAAAAAATCACGTCTGCCCATTGCCTGGCTTAGAAATGCAGCAGCTTTACCATGATTTGGTAGGATTTACCATGATTTTAGGAGAAGTTATAATATATGTAGAAAAGCAAACTTGTTATTGAAGGAAGAATTAAGAGTAAAACCAGAACATTGCCCATTACATGTTCAATGCCAACTGTGTAATTTCCTATTTCTCAAATAGATGTGATAGAGGAGAAACTCAGCCCGTGCCTTCACTGCTGTGAGTGGACATAACTTATACTGTTGTCTTTAAATGTCTTGTAGGCATCAGCAAGAGCCCACAAAGGACCCTGTGATTCTGAATGCCCTTTTGCACGTGTGCAAGACCATGCATGACTCTGTGAAGTAAGCCACGCTTAAGGCTGAAACATAACATGGATTGGGTCTTAATACCACATAATAGTACATTGGGGAATTACTGCATTAAGCTGCCACTGTGGATACTATTATTTTATGGGGTCTATTAAAATTCTTGCTAATGAGGACATTCCAGTCTAGGAGAAGAGAGAGGCTGAGGGTAACCTTCCTGAAAAAATGAAATGGCAGGTCTTTTTTTTTTTTAAGATTGATTGATTTGAGAGAGAGAGAAAGCAAGAGCGAGTCGGGGGGAGGGGCAGAGGGAGAGAATCTTCAAGCAGACTCCACGCTGAGCACAGAGCCCGATGTGGGGCTCGATCCCACAACCCTGAGATCGTGATCTGTGCTGAAACCAAGAGACACTCAATCGACTGCACCACCAAGGCGCGCCGAGATGGCAGATGTTTTTACAAAGGGATTTCTGTTGAGAGGAAAAGGCGTGAACTCAAACTCCACCTCTCCTGGAGATTTGAGAGCAGCAGATACAATAATAACGAGTTCACTCATCCAGTAACATAGTCTTTACATTTTTTCTTGTTATTAGCCAATTACTTCAAATTCAAATGAAATAGCTTCTCTTCCTTACATGAAGGGCTCTAGGTGTTTGGTAGACCTGGGGCTCAGTCCTGTGCGTTAGCTTTACCTCTGGATCAGAGGCCAAACTATCACTCCTTTGCTTTCTAGTTTTTTTCCCTTACATGTTTCCATTTGATTGTGTTTGAAGCAGTTCCTGCTCATTTGTGGCTGAAATTTTAGTCCCCACAGAATTTTTAAGCACAGCAGCTTGAGTCACTGGAAAATGTTACAAGAATGGAGAAAACGGTTTTAGAACTTAACCATCAGCAAGATGAATTGTATTTCTTTTTTTTTCTTCTGAATTTTGGAATCTTTATTTTCATGATCTTGTGTTGTCACCCTCGTGAATAGTTAACCAAAATCAAAGTATCAAGACTTTTTCTAGTACATGGAACCAACCAGTAGGCTTTTTAGTTGGACCAAAATAGAAATAAAGGCACAAAACACATCAGAAAGGCACTTGTCTTAGTAGGATACCGGGTTTTAGCTTCGGTAAAATAGAAAGTTTATTTCTGTCTTGCTAAGGGTGTGAGATCAGGTGGGGCCGGGCCACTCTGCTGTAGAGCACCATCCAGGTTCCTTCTGTCTTGTTGCTCGGCCATCCCTCTCTGGGGTGTTGCCCTTGTCTTGCTGGGGGAAGCTGGCTTACCTCTACCATGTCCATGTACAGCCTGCGGGCATTGGAGGATAGTAGTTTTCTTTCTGCGAGAAACTTGGGCAGCTCACCCTCACTTGTGCTCACATCCCATTGGCCAGAACTGTCCTATGGTCGTACCCAGCTACAGAGGGGGCTGGGAAATGGAATCTTAAAGAATGAAAGGAACATTGCTTTGTTAGTGGATGGAATGCAGTCTTTGCCAGGGACACGGAAAGGACAAACCAACACACAAAACTTGTCCCCTGTTTTCTCTAGACTCTTAAGTTGTTAAAAAAAATAAATTTGGGGAACTATTAATAGGCCTTCACATGTGTAGTCGAAGCTTAAGGACGTGACATTGTCTTATTTATATTTGTATTAATACTACTATTAAATAGAGGCAATTGCGATCTATAATTTACTTTTAAGATGCCTCCCCGAAATGAGCTGGATTGATGGATGGCGAGGGAAGCGGGTAGTTATGTGATAAAGCAAACATAGTAAAATGATAATGGTGGGATCCTGGTGGTGTGTATATGGGTGTTTGTTGTAAAATTCTTTCGACTTTGCTGCTTGTTTGAAATTTTCTATCCTGAAATGTTGAACAAAACTTCTCTGGAATACAAAAATTTGCAGTTGGACCTTGCTGTCCAAATTCCAAGGGAAAGTTTCCTTCTCCTTTGCTATTAATAAATATGTCCTGAAAACATCATCTTTGAGAGAGATGAGAAATACACTTAAATTATGTTCATTTAGATGGTACATTTTCATCAGAAGAGAGACAGCCTGTCGAGAGTGTTTTAAATCTAAAAAATGCAAAATGTTCTTACCTGTTAAATTGCTTACTTCTTACATATTCTTTAGAAACTTATATTTATTACCTCAATGTTAATTATGTACCATTATTGATTTTAGTGCACTCACTCTTGAGGATGAGAAAAGAATGCTGGCATATTTGATTAATGGATTTATAAAAATGGTAAGTATTGGGGAAGAAGTTTCAGGGTACTTGGAAATGTGATGTAATTGTTTGTCCTTAACTCTGGTGAAAGCAGTTAACATGTTCCCTGGTGCTTTTCATTTTTATTAAGATAAGAGGAAATTAGAAAACGTCTTACATTAGCCAGCACTCCCCCGGGGGCAAAGAGAGCCAAGACAAACTGGCTTAAGGAATAAAAAAATGTGTCATCAGGACCTGCCGTCTGTGTGTCTCGGGCTCGGGGTTCCGTTCGCTCAGTGTCCTCCCAGACAGGCTCACGCCCCTGAAGAGCTCCAGGTTCCCAGCAGGAAGGGCTCCAGCAGAAGTCCTGGGATTGAGTCTCCAGATGAACTTGGGTCACCTGAACGAATTGCTGCAGTGAGGGGGAAGAAACACACTGACTGGCCAGGCCTGGGGGACATATGCATGCACAGCCCCAGTCATGTGGACCCTGGGAGTGGGGAGTAGGGGCTCTTTGAGGTACCCGATGTGCTGCTCATCAGGTGATGGTGAACCAATGCTGGGGGGAGGGGCAAAATTGGTGCATAACAGCTCACCCCAAAACTTAGCAGCTTTTTTTTTTTTCTTTTAAGATTTTGTTTATTTGTCAGAGTGCGCACAAGCTGGGGGACGGGGGGAGGGGGAGGGCAGAGGGAGAAGCAGATTCCCCGCTGAGCAGAGAGCCTGGAATCATGGGATCATGACCTGAGCTGAAGGCAGATGCTTAACCGACTGAGCCACCCAGGCGCCCCAAAACTTAGCAGCTTTAAATAACAGTGTCTTATTAATTCTTAACAATCCTGGGGGTTGACTGTGGAGTCAGGCTGCTCCGTGTACCAGGATTGGGGCCACGGAGGATCCAGGACAGCCTCGCTCCCACTCCCGTGTCTGGGCTCTTGGTGCTGGCTGTTGGGGCCTCATTTCTCACCGGCGTGGCCTCTTTCTGCTGTTCTGCCATCATCCAGCCGTCTCAGCCGGGCTCTTTTATATGGTGCGGGCATGGACAGAAGCTGCAGGGCCTTCTAAGACCAAAAGCCAGTAATCACACAGTGACTGGTGCCGCATCCTGCTACATTCTCTTGGTCAAAACAGTGACTGGGGCTGTGGCCTTGGAGAGGGGGGGAAGTAGACTCCACCCCCAGATGGGAAGAGTCCACAGGGATGCTGCAAAAGGCCAAGCAGAGTGGGTGGGGTTCTTACAGCCTTCTTTGGGAACAACCCCACCATCCCCTCCTAGCCAGAACCACCTTTGCTTTCATTCTTCGTGCACAAAGCTAAAGTAACAACTGCTGCTAGTGTCCTGTTTTAATACAAGTGTCAAGACAAAAGCTGACCAAGAGGAAGATAACTAGAGCACTTGGAAAAGGACCCTGAAAATGTGACTTGTTCCACAAAAGGGTCAGTGTCATCGTTCACCTGACTCTGTGGGTAAAACAGTCCATTCCGATGCAAGATCAGAATTAACCTTTCAATTGTCGTGGGGGGAAATGCACCTTTTACCAGGTGACTCTCCTTGCCCTTGATTTATGTGCTGATCAGGTGGTATTTTATCCCTTTATGGCTCTGAGAGCCACCAAGTTAGAATGGAAAAGAATATGAGGAAATAAGATGTGAAACCTGATAGCTGTAATGGAAATCGCAATGTTAAGCCTCCTCTGGGCAAAAATGATAGCTGTAACAGTCAAGTTTGTCCTCCTAACAAGCTGTTCATAAATTTGAAGAAATAGAAGAGGGGATTTTTTTGATGGAGAAACTTCCACCTATGGCTCCAGCAACCACCCGTAAGTTGCTGAGTTTGGACTCTCCATCAGGAAGCAGGAAGGTGTGGCTCTTATTAGGGAAATCCCTCTGACCAATGGCTCCCAATAACCAAATTTATGTTCTGTGAAAAGGCCACAGCTGACAGACAAAATTCCATTATTTCCTTTCCAGGGGTTTCCTTCTAACCTGGGAAATCCGATTTACATTCTGAGATTCTGTTCTGTTACCCTTTGGTCTTTTTATGTTCTACTCCAGTGCTCATGTCATAAAGAGGAGGTGGTAATAGTAATATTGCAGTTATATGCTGGGCAAAGTCACGTAAAGTCTAATTGGAGTAAATTCCAGTGTGTGTGTGTGTGTGTGTGTGTGTGTGTGTGTGTGTGTGTGTGTGTGTGTGTGCGTGCGTGTGCGCTTGCATGCATGGTTGCATACCTTGGGCATTTCCACCCATTCATATTGGTGGGATTTTTGGTGACTTGTCGTCACAGACTTGCCCC